ATTTGCTCCTCGTCTCTCTCTCTCTCTTTTTTTTTTTTACTACTAACGCTCTTTAGCTTTTCGAGGACCACCACCCCTCCCCCCCAAAAAGGACACCTGTTTCATGTAAGCCCCCTCCCCGCGTGCGCCCACGTTGATTTTTACCTTTGTTCTTTATTACATCAACCAAAAGCACGCTTGCAGACTGATGTAAAAATGGGAAGCCTTTGTAACGAAGTGCTTGAGACATGTAACATTAGTCAAGGAATGCGAATCGAGCCAATATGTTATGGTTAACGTAGTGTTCTGACAAAAGGGCAGGCAGACATAATTATGCAACACACTCCTATTACTCCCTTCAATCCATTTATCAAATAATAGTTCACGCTTATGATACATGGTCCAACAGACGAATTAATATTTTGCAAGTCTCACGTGGTGTAACGCACTGTAAATCAGTAATTAAGCGATCCTGTGAATGCAAAGGGCAGTGTATCTTTGTTTGGTCTCTGGTGTAAAGGAGTATCATGCAAAGTTAAGCGCGCATAGGCAAATCAATTTAATGAGCTACAATCTCTTTTCTTAGCACGGACAGACTAAAGTAAACAAGTTATAAGGTTAGTGGCATAATATACAACGACACAACACTGTTGTCTGTTTTGCATTGTGTCGTGCCCTTTTCACGCCTCCTTTAGAATTTATTCTCACAAAGTCAAGTAAACCAATGGATAATTTTATCAGTTCCAATTATTGGTGATGCATGCATGAGCTCACTTATTAGAGATACAGACACCCATAAGGAGAATCGCAATTGTTATATTGTTGTTAGTGGTGGTGGTGGTGGATTTTAGGGGGGGGTGCTGGAAGGTTGTTTTGTTGCTGTTAAAAAAATTTATGGGGGCGGGGTGGGGGAGGAACATTATTTGATCAAATGGCTTTGACCAAATGTATTATAGACATACAAACACAGTGCGGTATCCATTAAATAAATTTAAAGTCGTGCTGCAATGCAGTTGGCTGTGATAACTTGAGTACTTTCCGGTCACTTCGGTCCAAGATTAAATTGAAACGAGGGCAGAATGCTGAATCTGCTCTCAAAGACTATGGAATTTGAACCCATTCGTACACTTGAGAGCAGCTTTGGCACGTGGTTACCACGACTCATCTCTATCATAAGCAGTGTCCTGTTTGCCTTTGAAGATGATACTCTCGCCAAAATAATGGTCACGATATCGGGTTACTTTTTATTGCCTGTGGTTTAGCCTTTTGGTTTTCCCAGATAGGATTTTCTCCCTGTGAGCTGATATAATTTCATTTGTACAATTCACTTCGTCTAAAACAAGACTTTTATTGCCATATCTCTGTACTTTGACGTAAACCATTCTGCCGAGCAACATCAACTGTCGAGACGCTACAGAGCCTGAAGCGGTAAGTTTGTTGTTCCAGAACAGGAAACTACAGAAGTCAACTTTTGAAGGGGGGAAGGGGGGGGGGGTAATTATCATAGTACGGCGCAGTTAACAATTCATGTTTTGGGTTTGTTTTTTTAATCCATCAAGAAAAGAGAGACTCTTCAAAGACAGATCAAAAGATGAAGAAACAAAAAATACTGGGGGAGAAAATGATTTGTGAATGGTAATTATTAGCGTTTATCCCCCCTCTCCAAATTGCAGCATAATAGTTTAAATTATAACAAGTGCAGATAGTATTCACATTCTTTTCCGCAATTGTTCTAAAAGGTAGGTAGTGTAAAGCTCCATTTCACTATTTTTAATCTTTGGCTTATTTATTTATAATATCAAAGTACGGAACAGCTAGACATGTTTTGTTCAAGAGAACTGTGCTAAATTCGCTCCATTATCCATCAAATAGAATAAATTGAATGTGTCGGATCGATAATGAGTTAATTTTTGTTCCTCTGTCAAAGTTATAACAACAGAGTTGTTTTGAGTCACAGGAGAGAACTACAAATAAGCCCTAAATCTAATATTGGATTTCTAACCTAACATTTTTGCATTCCGAGGGCATTACATGTGCCATGCACTTCGTTACAAAGGCTTCCCATTTTTACATCAGTCTGCATGCGTGCCTGATAATGTAATAAAGAACAAATTTAAAATCAACTTGGGTGTGTGTGTGTGTGTGTGTGTGTGTGTGTGTGTGTGTGTGTGTGTGTGTGTGTGTGTGTGTGTGTGTGTGTGTGTGTGTGTGTGTGTGTGTGTGTGTGTGTGTAAGGGGGGGTGTTTCGTGAAACGAGAGCCCTTTTGGGGGGCGGCGCGGCCCCCAGAAAACAAAAGAGTGTTTGTAGTAAAGAGATAGAGAGAGAGACAGAGAGAGAGAGAGAGAGAGAGAGAGAGAGAGGGAGGGAGAGAGAGAGAGAGAGAGAGAGAGAGAGAGAGAGAGAGAGAGAGAGAGAGAAGGGGGGGGGGGGCAGACATACAGAATTACAGAACAGTTACAGTATCCTAGAGAGGATAAAAAGTCATAGCTGGAGTGCCCCATGGGTTTTTTAATTAAGAGTAAGGTAAATTTTGTTAGCTTCAAGTGTATCTGCAACCTTCCCCTACTTTCCCTCGTGGTCACAGAATTCTACACTAAGTGTAGAATTCTGTGCTCGTGGTTCACTCCATAATAAGCGGAAGTACGTCAGTGCGCACAGTCTTGAGTTTTATATATAAGTCTATGGAGAGAGCTAACAAAAATGACTGCTGTGTTTACCTGACAAACAACTACCAAGTTGTGAGAGGGGGGCCTGGCCGCGCCCCCACTGTTTTGATGCTTTAGAAATCGTAGATGCTTCTCGAATGATCCCCGCGCTGAGGACAAATCAAGATCATCACAACTGATTGCTATTTGAATGTGGTACTTTCAGTTATAACTTTTTCTTCCTTTTTTATGTTGCTTCGAAGTGAGGAAAGCCTCCTTTTATGGGAGGATTAAGTGGTAAAATCTCTAGCTAGATCTAGAAATCTTGTTCATGATCATTCCTGATAGTCATCATTATAGTCAGTAAGATTGTGTTGTGATGACACCTCATCAACCCCAAGTTCAAGTCACTTGAAGTCAGGAGTGACAGGAGCGACCTAAACTGTGCCAGAGACATTACTTGAACTCCAACCTAGATCTAGATATCTAGGTTTCTAGATCTAGATTCACAATCATTTTTTTTTGGTAGTGTCAATTGCCACCGCCGAGTGACGCGGTGGCAATTGACAAAAATTGACTTTTTGTCAATTGTCACCTAGTAAATTGGAGCTCTTTTGCGTTGGTGGGTAGATGTAGCTTATTAAATTGTGCTCGAGTGCTCTGTGTTGTGCGTTCGCCTCTCTGTCCCTCTGTGTTTGTGTGTGAGTGTGTGTCTTTTCCTGACCCCCGTCCCCCGATTTATGTTCCCCGATATAATATGAATTTCTGCTTGAGTTTGTGTGCGTTTGTGACCTTCTACTTCTAGAATTGCCTGTGTTGGTTCTACACCAAAGTGTAGGCTAAGGCTAGCCTAGATCGAGGCCTACGTCTCATTGAAAACACGCCAAGTTGGTATCGTAGCTCTAGACTAGATGCTCGTCCAATGAAATTAGTTGAGAACAAATTGACCTGTTAGACACACATTATGTCATTATGTATAATACTAAAGATAGTGTTGTTTTCAGACTTGACACCGCTTCACTCGGTGGCAATTGACAGAAAGTCAATTTTTGTCAATTGCCACTGCGTCACTCGGTGGCAATTGACGCTACCCTTTTTTTTTCGAAGTGATTATTCGGACTCGAATAAAGGACAGAATAGACCTTGCATACATTCTGATATTTTGATTTTTATCACAAGTGTATGGGTGTGGATTTTAATTACTATTATACTTTTGTAGTAATGGTTATGAACAAACTATTTATAGTCCATTTTATATATTTAGAGGGCTTTTCAGTGTTAATAAACTTTAAAAACATGTACAGAGATACATATTATGAGGAGAGTTTCATTTAATAAAAGTTTATAAAAATGAATGACAGATCAAAACGTATAAATTTTTAGGTCAAAATTGAAGTTTGTCATAATTGTTATGAACGAACCTTTTTAAAGGTATTCTAAGGGTTTTTCAGGAAATAAACTTTGAATTCTCCCTACATAGAGGAATCTATCATATTTTAAGGAAAGTCTCATAAATGAAAACCATTTTATGTGAAAGACAGAACAGTATAAGTAAATTTTAGGGACCAAAAGTAAAATTTGTCATAATAGTTATGAACAAAACAGTGTGTCATAATGGTTATGAACGAACTTTAAATTTATGCATAACATGCCCTATGACCAGTTGGCGTTTAAAAATAGCTGTTCAATGGTCTTTCATTTGTCACTTGACTATAATTAGACCAGAGTGTTATTTTAGACAATTCTAGTCGATGAAACTTGACATAATTGATAGTATTTTAATTTTGGTCACTTATTGTTCGTTCATAACTATTATGACACAAAAAAGTAATTTTATCAAAAATTAATAAAGATTTTTATAAACTGTCAATTCTATGTACTTTTGGAAGTTATTTGCTATGTCTCAAAATATAACATCAGCCTAGCTGAAGAAAGGAACTTTGAGTATTCATAAATTTGTGTCATCATTGTTATGAACGAACTTTTTGCTATTTCCGTCATTCAAGTCAGAATTACACCAAGACCATTGCATAGCTTTGGTAGTTACTGAGCCTGAAAGAGCAATCATTAGGCTATATAATATGGGTGATTAAAAAATTATTACATAAAGTTGATTTTGGACCTCATTTGTCACACCCAGGTATCCCACCTTTTGGCAAATGCTCATCTAGTAATTATTCAGGTTTAAATAATGCAAGTCAGTAAGGCGCCTTTTGGTTTTGTCTGAAATACAAATACTTTAGGCTCTGCAAGCTAAAAATTTCATTTACAATTCAGCCATCAAGCACGGCTAGCCTGACAGTCTATAAGTACGGCTAGCCGTACTTATCTTAGGCCCTGTCTATTAACATTATAGAAAACAGGAGGTGTAAAATACAATATGCACCGTCATTAAGGCACCTGGTTTCGTCTCAAATACAAATACTTTAGGTACTGCGAACTGAAAATCTTCAGATCTAGATCTCTATATCTAGAATCTATCTAGATTCTAGATTTAATTTAGATAAGATCTAGCCTATAGTCTATAACTTTATCTCGATTGTTGTCAGAAAACTGAAAATGAACTTGAAGACAGATCACTTTGACACTGTTTGACTGCCAGTGCCTTCTTGGCTGTATTTTTTGCATTTTAGCCTTTCTTTCTTTATGTTTTGTTAACAAAATGGGCATAGTAATATGATAGAAGTCTAGTTACAAATACATCTGTAGGCTATAGGTTTTGTGGTAAATATTTTCTTTACTTTCAGTCTTGTGCACAGATGCACTTGTTTGGGGGTCAACAAACTGGGAAGTTTTACCCAATCCCAATTGTGAAACATCAAATTATGGGGGGAAACAAGGGGCATGCTCTCCTGTAACACCCCCCCCCCCCCCCCCATTTTTTTTCCTCGGGGTGGGGGGGGGGTACGGGGGAACATTTATTTTTTACCACCACATTTAAGCATCAACTTGGAATCTGGAATTAGTTATACAACAATCTACATTATAGATAGAGATGGAAAGAATTGCCGTTATTCACATAGGACTATCCCTTTTCGGGACAGGCTTTGAAGAACAGTGAAACTTTATGATATTCCCAACCTTTAATTTTGGTGTTTCCGAGTGATCAATAATATAGCAGTGTGAGTAGCTAGTTGCTTTGCAGTGTAGGGCCTTGCATAGATCAATGTGGCAATGTTTGTTTCCACAGACTATCTCGCTCTTCATCACGTAGTTCTATGTTTAGGCTAGCCTATCCCTCTTTAGTAGCTGGGGATGAGAAATGATTGTGATGTGTCTGCATCTCTGCTGCTGTTCCATGCCCAGATGCTTGTGGGTACTCCACCCCCCGCCCCCTCCTTCCCATACACACCAGTAACAGCCACAGGTGTGAAGGTCACCCATCCAACCTCTCCCAACCCTGGCACAGGCTAAGACTTGTCATGTCTTACACACGTACACGTAAAAAATGCTTGATTTTACTTCTTAATTCAGGGGATCTCCATTTCCATCAATCTTAAATATTTTTACTTCTTTTCAAGATAGATGGGTGTTGATCTCATCAAAAGCAGGACATGAAAGCTTTAGGATGATGCCAATAATGCCATACTCTAAAATTGCCAAGTGTCTGATTCCACCTTGTCGTGACACATGGTTAACAACTATCGAAAAAAGAGGAATTCTTCATTTGCTGTACCACAAGTGTGATTAAGTGCGCAGAAACTAATTGACAGACATCATCTGAAGATGATTTGTTTACCTTCCAGGTGACCAGTAAAAAAGTTTTTCAAAAAGAAAGCGGATAAAACACCGTTATGAATACATAGAGAAACAAATACCAAAGTTTGTGGAGACATGGAACGTCCATCCGAATTTATTATGCTTGTATTAATAACAATAAAATATGAAAACCAGAAAACCACAAAAAAGTTTTTAAAGATTTTTTCCAGATACCCTCAATTTTGAGTAAAGTTCATTCTGACAAGCAAAGTGAAATTGACAATCAAGCGTTGGCACTTCTCCGCAGAAATCTTTCTTTATGCCCTCTATTCCTTGATGGTTTCTCTTTAGTCCTGGATATTTTTGAAGGTTTTCCCACACACTTTGTCCTTCAAACACAACCAATATTAAAAGTCCAGTGGACTCAGAACCGGATCGTTTAGGGTCCAGTTGTTCCTAGTCGGACTGACTGTCCTGAATCCAAAACAGTTGCTGATCCAGCTCAGAGCTGCTCTGGCGTCATGATGAGCTATCCTATCTTTTTGGTTCTGTCTCTCTTTATCATCAACAAATATTCCGAAGCTCCTCCAGAACTTTCTTGTGATGACGAGGCATCGGCCAGAGTTCATAGAATCACAGACTACCCTGACCTTTTCAAGCGTGCGTTGTTTTACAGATTGCCTACTGTGTATTAATTGACGCTTTAGAATTCAAATTCTTATCGTCTGTGTACCCAAACTTTTCCAAATTTGCAGCCGATTTCAAAACGGACCTTTTGCTTGAAACATTACTTTTGTTACAGATAGGCCTATCCATCCCATATGTTCGAGCAAACAATGCTCAGGTTGATTTGGGATATTTTGTTTGCTGATACTATACATCTTGACTGCAAAAGCATGATGCACAGGGGGCGAAATGCTTTATTATCTTTCCTTTAAACAAATGCATCAGCAATTAACTTTTAATAAACAAAATCTGGATGTATTTTCTAGCTTTTAATAATTTTAATGTCAATTGGGTCATTAACAAGAAATTTATTGACATTTCTTCAGAGAAACCTTTTTTTGAGTCACCTGGTATTCAGTACTGAGCAAAAACGTAAGCATTTCCCTATGTAAATCATTATAACTATTGTGGCTTTTGTTGTGTCCTTAGATTCAATAAAAAGTGGGACGATTATCTGACTCGTGATGAACTGCAAACATCCTCGTCCGTACGCCAGCAAAAGAATGTTTTGCTTTCCCTGGGCCGGAGGCGGTGCCTCCTTCTACACTGCCTTGAGTGAAGAAATCACAGATGAACTTGAAGGTGATTATTCCGTCTCTCCTCTGTTTTATTTCTAAGACAAAAATACAGTTGAGGAGGCCCTATGAAATTAATTGCAATTACAACTATTTGTCATTAGTTCCCTGTTTAAATGATACACAATAGCTGTGAATTTTTAGTGTCTCTCTTCTTTGTGTCTATGTATGAGTGTTTTGGCTGAATAAAACATCGAGTTGCTATGGGCAGTGTATAATCCTCTTCTTACCTACTTGCTAAGTTATCACATCAACTTTCCTTGGCCTCCTGAAGTTATGACTGAGGTATTCTTAATACCTTTTGGTGTCAGAATAGTAATTTGATTGTGTTCTCTCATGCTGTGATTTATAAAAACAAAATAAGTAACAACATTTTGTACAGGGGACGTGTTTTTTACACATGAAAAAAAATGAAAATCAGTATGTCATAATCATTTTCCAATTTTAGATAATTTCCATTAATTGATGGATCATTTCTATCTCTGTGCAATAGATACATGAAGGCCTATCCTTCATAAGCTTTCAACGTTATTTTTAAAAAATGATAGTTGTTCTGTACCTATGTCTGAATGAAAATAGTCTGTGTGTGTGTGTGTGTGTGTGTGTGTGTGTGTGCATAGATATATATTGCATGAGAAGAAAGGAAGTAGTAAGAAAGGTTTTGAAAATGGGTTTTCCAATGTAAAGCGCATTGAGCTATTTTTGGGGGAAATGCGCTATATAAATGTTATATATTATTATTATTATTAAAACTGATTCCGTCAAGTTTTGTTTTTTAACAATGCAATACTCTTCTCTTGTGATTAATATTGCTGCCCTGGATTTTGACTTATAACTTCAACCCAATCTTGGTTTAGTAAAAGGCCCTTATTCACCCTGTATCAGTCTTCTTATAACAAATTTAAGTGTTAGAACTGTCATCATGTGATGTTAATTATTCTGCTATCCATAAAACTGTCCCTGTGGTTTTATGCACCCCGCATAATTTAGCAAAATTTGATCATTTTTTTTGCATAATTTCTTATTATTTTCCTTTACCATTCTTTGTTAAAATTAACGGAATCGCATAATTTCACATTTTTGGTCTCAGTTTGCATAATTTCTGATTTTTTTTTGGATAAAACTGCGGGGACAGATAAAACGGGTATATATTCATGATTTAAAGAATTTGAATTCGTACCACAAAACAAATGGCCCCAGTCATGTTCTTTTTACATGATCTGACTGTGAAGACATACTTGCACTTCCTCTAGGCAGCTAGATTTTCTCTGTGTTGCATTGCCGGTCAACACTTTTTCCCTGTTCTAAGATGGGTGAAGAAAAGTAATTATCTAGTAAGTCGGTGTTTCGACTTTTGATTATTGTTTCCATCTAATTTTTTATCATCATTCAGTCAAAATTTTGACATAGTGTCTTTTAAATATAGCTGAACATGATCCTGGAACTTATCTAAGGTGTGGCTTTTTGTTAATGATTTTGGAGAGAATTATCGTAAGGGATTAAATAAATGTCCAACTTTTCATAATGCATCCCATGTTATAGAGAGAGCACAGCGTGTTATGTCTGCTCACTTTGTTGTCTTGTCAGGAGAAATGTATTTGTTTGGATCTAATTATTGTTTCAGTACATGCAAATTGTTTCCGTTGTGGTTTATGTAGTTATCTTCTCTATTCGTTTACGTCAGTGTATAGATTAATTCACAGGATGGGGATTCATGCGGAAATGCTTTTAAGGCAAGGTAAGGTTCTACTAAATCAGTATGCTTTATAGCTTTCACAAGAACTTTGTATTGGTTATAAAAGCTCATAGTTGTGATTGTGAATTTTGAATCTTAGGAAGAGTTCTAATGTTTATAGAAATGAAACGCAAAGTGCAAGTAAGGCAGCTGAAATGTTCCTAAGGTGAGTGAGTGAATGATCATCTTTTTATCTGTGATCCAGATCCCTCTTGAATAATTCAAAGGTAAAAAGACCCTTGAATTAGAGCCCTTATCTAAGGTGTAATACATATTTTTGTATTTTCTCTTTGCAGTTATAGCTTTATGCCTGCCAGGACGAGAACAAAGGTTTAAGGACGAAGGATACAACTGCCTAAAAGAATTACTTGATGAACTAGTGGAGACAATACATGACAAGTATTGGGATAAGCCATTTATCTTCTTTGGTCACAGGTGAGTTTAAAATTTCACTTTTATGTATAGTTTAGTTTGCAGTGATAATGTGATCTTTCTCAATAAATCCCCTGACAGATGAACACAATAATCAGCAACGTGCATTTCTAGATGAGATGCTCTATTGGGATGTATAAAAGGCTTTGATGACATGGCATGGACTTGTGCAGTTGATTCTTACCTACCCTCTGACAGAATGATTGCACACACTTCTGCAGAGTTTTTTAAAGCTACTGGCAATAAAATGACTATGGGTGAAGCCTGTCAAGTGGATTTCACAAAGAAAAATTTTTATTGGTTAGATTTGTATAAGGAAAAACAATGTTTTTACCAATTTTCTGTAAAACCAGGATGAAAAGGGGGAGGGGAGAACTTCTGCAAAGACTGTTGTAGAAATATTATATGGTTATGAAGTAAATTTCCTTAATATTTCGTTCAGTCAAAATTGTCCAAGACAGCAACCCATTGTCCTGGAGAAAAGTAGTTTAGACAGCTGGGTGTCTTGGACTTTATAACAGAAAAAAGCAAGGGGAGAGGTGGGAAGTAGTTGTTCACACAGACTTGTCTTGGACATGTGGCCAATAAGACAGGTTCGACTGAATATCCTCAATGTCCTTTCACCTTGAACATTTGTGTATTTTCAGTATGGGAGCTTTGATTTCATTCTTCTTGGCTGTGGAGTTGAAGAAAGTCTACAACAGAGAGCCAGAGTGCATGATTTTATCAGGAACTGTGGCCCCAAATGTAAGGAATTAATTAACTCTGTTTTTGTTGTTGTTTTTGCTTTTAGAATTGCTTTTTGTATGGTTGTGATTATGGTTGCTCACTTGATATGTTTTTTTTATTATCTTTGTTGTTTGGTGCCATTGGGAAAGGGTATGTTTGTAGATGCCCTCTCATGTAGTATTGTGCTAATTTACTCACCTGAAAAGTCATCAGACTTTGAAGGATTGTCAGTATTCATGAATATATTCAAAGATTTCCTGTCCCGTCTGTCAGTTTGATCTATATGATGTCTAGTATCAGCTTCCTTTGAAAGATGAATTGTTGCTTTTTTTAAAGTAATCCTCGGCCCATCTTTTGTTGTTGGTGGTGGATGGCGCTGCTTGTCAGCTTTACTCTTTGCTATCCAATGCTTTTATTCATCTTGCTTCTTTTTTTTCTAGCACAAAATTACCATTGCCATATCCTTGGTTTACTTGCTTTAGGTTTTCCTTTCGCATTACAGTCGTAATTTATTATATTCATTCTCTCCTCTTCAAATTTCTTTTTTAGTTCGACCTCTTAAAATGTTGGGTTTTTTTTTATATTTTCAGATTTCCTTGACCAAAAAAAAATCAAACTTTAAATGGTAGTTTTCAATGGTCTAAAATTGCTTTTCAGTCGCTAAACAAAACTACCGGCATACTTTTTTCTTGAAGTTCACTTATTTTTTATCGAACGTAATTGCAGCTTGATATCTGTCTAATTTTACCACCTTCTTGGATCTCATTTAGTCTTTTTTCTGAACTAAAGGCTCAAATGGAATCAAATTTTAGGACCAAGTTGTAAAAGTTAAAATTGTCACCAAAAAAGTGGTCTTTGGTAGTAGAAGAAGGCAAGATGACATGCAGAAATGTACTGAAATGAAAGTGAAACTTCCAGTGGCAACTTTCCACCACATACTACTAGTATTATAATGTATGTATTTCCCAGTTTTTGTTTGTAATATAATTTTGCTTTCTTTTTTTCCCTTTGATTTAGGCACCTAATGTGAATGAATCAAGATTGAGCCCAAAAAATATGACCAAAGATGTATTTATGTCAAAATTACAAGAATTGGGTAAGTAAGTGACAGAGACAGATGTATCCTACCATATGTGAATCGAGGTGCCTTTCAAGATTCAAAAATTACTCTTTTCAGACTCATTTGATATATTCTAAGTTTGTTGGTAAAACTTTTTCTTAAGGTGGTTTATTTTTTCTAGCAAGTGCCTTACTACATTTGGTCGCTTCTAAGGACAAGCGGGCTAACCCAGATTTCGGGGGTTTCTAGAAATCTTGACCAACACCAAAAGTGGACTTTGCCCTAGGAGAAATTTGGTTTCATTGGTGTGTATACTTGTTTGGTTATAGAGACAACTCTCCTTGTCTTTAAAAGAAACTGAACAAGGGTCCAAAAACTTTACCTTCGATTTTCTCGAAACAGCATTTTTTTGGATTAGCCCCTTGTTAAATTCCTGTATTCTTTGAGAAATTATGGCTGTATATATTCCTTCTTGTCAGGTGAATGTTACTAAGGCTAAACCTATTATGTCAATTGTGAATTTTTTCGCCTTTTTTAAAACTAATGTGAGATTTGTATGCTGCTTCAGTAACAATTCAGGAAATGTGAAGTTTCTTCTTAAAAAGGAAATAAAGTTTCAGTCAAAATAATATTTCATAGGCTCTCTTCAAAAGAAAAACTCCAATGTCTTTTCTGTTGCCTCTGTACTTTTGATTTTACTATCACCATCTCAGTACTTCTGCCTCTCGCAATAAAACCTTTTTTTATAGTTGGTCTCTTTACTACACTGACATACTCATACACATTTGTACATACACACACACACACACACACACATGCACACACACACACACACACACATTCACACACACAAACCACACGTGTGCACATACACAGGCATGCAAACACACACATCCATATGCATACACACACACGCACATGCGCTCACACACGCATACACACACACACCACAGCTGGTGCGAGCATGTAAAGCATTGTGGTGGAATTAATCACTCTTCGAAATAACGAATTCAAAGACACCAGCATTTTTCCACCCATCGCAATTTTTTAAACCATATTTTCGGGGTTTTTTGGCTCAACACCTGTAATAACCATTTAAAAACACATTTTTGTGTGAACTGAACTGAAAAATGTTGATCAAAGGCATGAGAAATATAAAATTTACAGTTCTCAAGGACGCTCAAGCAGTGGAAGTCACCAAACTTTGGCGACCCTTTTCTCGCTAACTTTACCTCTGACGCCATGTGACCCCCACCTCCGTAAATCGAAAATATCTTGACTTCTATTCAAGATTGATTGGCATTTTTTTCACATAAAGCATGATAAATTAATCAGATTTAAGATTGTACCAATAATCCTGTATACCCGAAAATTGACGAGAGCCCAATTCCACAGTGTCGTGACACATACATTCCTTCATCTGCAGGAGGCACCCCTCCAGAGTTTTTAGAGCACCCTGAACTTGTGGACATTTACTACCCTGTCATGTATGCAGATTTAATTTTGATACAAGAAATGGTGTAAGTAATGGCTTGATCTAGGAAAATGTTAGTCTTTCGTATATTTATTGTTAGGGTTTTTTTTAGTTGATACCTACCAGGGAATCGTTTGTATTCTGGTATTCTCTAATACTAATAACTCAGTTATTGTGTTTTGATAAGACAAGTATTTTTCTGTATTTTTACGACTTTATAACACTGACATAATTTTGTACTCTCGGTACAGTTATGACCACCTGATGAGAAGCCTCACAACAGATTACTTTTTTTCTTAAAATAAGAATGGAAAAGAAATGGGGGGGGGGGGGTGTAATTGTGTGTATTGTTGGCGCAAATGATGGCACAACACATACATTATATATACATATCCAACCTTCCTTCCAGTATGGTTTTGGAATACAAATGAAGCATGATTATGAGCAACGATTTATCTTAAATGAAATACTCTAGCTGTGACACACACATGCACCCGCTTCCCACTTTATAAACCTAGAACCATACAAAAGTTCACAAGCTGCCAAGAAGCGATAGGGATATAACCTATTGCTGTGACTGTTATGAGAGGTGGAAGGGTACCAACTCTATTGTCGCAAGAAAGGATATTGCTACAGATAAATAATATTTGAATCATTTGTTGTCCCATATTTTATTAACCTCCCACCCCTTTCCCACTTTTAAAAAAATATTATGAGTGGCAGAAGATGGCTTGTTACTGTTTATTTTATCTTTAAAAAAAAAACAACAACAACAAGGCTTTGCTTTTTACTTTTACCCTCATATAGATATGATCACCCTGCTGGTGCAAAAGCTCCACTCTCCTGTCCGATTGATTTTTTTGATGGTGAAGAGGATCGGGATCACAGGATGGATGGTATGTTAATATTATTTTCTATTCTCAACAGTTGAGAAGACACAGCTAAGGATGTCTCCAGACTCATGTTGGTTAACTCTTTTTATCCGGGCTACGAGTATACTCGTAACGAGGACCAGTCCGGGCTACGAGTATTCTCGGAACAGCGATATGGTCTCGTCAAAGAAGCTAGTTCTGCTTGTAATTACAAAAATACGCAAATACGGCGATGCTAGCTCTGTCTAAATATTTTAATTTTCCAATGAACAGTGGTTTCTTTGTTTTTGATGGGTGTATAAGCTTGAAAGATGTCTCGAAAATGCACATTCGCGACCGACGAAGTACTTTTTGAAGTTGCGCTGGGTTTTGAGGGGGAATGATACTAATTTGATGATAGTGACTCTGAAATAAGTGCCGTAAATTCCGTTGTGGATGATAAGAAACATGACTTAGACTCATCTAATAGCGATTTAGATCATGGTGAAGGGGTCAGTACTGGAATCCGTGTTCGATGGGTAGGGCTAGATCTAGATCTATAAAATCCAATGGGACGTCGTGGGCGCGGCAATCAGGGTCAAGTTCGAGGGTTGAATATACCTCAAAATCAACATTGTGCTATTGGTGTATTTCCTAACAACATACATTTACAAAAACTACATTCAATTTCTAACATAACTGCAAAATTTCCTTAAAACCTTAGAGTAAAAGTAAGAAATATAGCACTTCGAACTATACGCACTGACTTCCGACTCATACGGCGCGGCAGCCCCAGGACGGGTACAGAGTCCGTGGGGGTACGGCTAGGATAAAAAGAGTTAAGATGATAATAAATGTTTTATTCTTCTGTCGACAGTTTGGGTGATTTAGGGGGCAGGCCATTGCAGAACTGATTTTTGTCAGGACATAAAGAGTTGCCATACTCCACAGCAGGACCATTAACTCACTGACTACAGGGCCCTTTCACCAGTCTTTGTGCTGAATACTGGCGGTTTTTTTGGGGGGGGGTATTTCAAAACACCGCCACACTCTCAGAATTGTAATGACTTTTTGACACAGTAAAGATACATTCTTCTACCTTAATCTAATACCAAAAACTAAAATAGTATAAGTCTTATACTTTAATTTTTATGATTTGTTAAAAATTGGCTTGAATTTGATTTTCCTAAAAACTTCCAGAGATGTGACAGATAGAATGAAATTCACAACAACAATAAAATAAAATTTAAAAGTGTTCTGTTTTGACTTGTATGCTTGTGAGAGTGTTTGGTGAAAATATAATAGCTAGGCTGTGTGTTGATGCAGACCCATACACTGAATTACATGAGATAGATATATAGGGCACAAAGTTGTGATTTCGTTGTGCTAACAACAGTACCACTACTACTACTACTACTACTAGTAGTGCCAGATTTAGCCCTAAAACTACGACTCAGGCCATGCTTGGGTACATATCCAGGGTCCTATCAGACACATCATATTCTGAGTCACTAGAACTAGTACAACAAACAGAAGCATCTAAAACAGCGAAAATAAATGGTTCCTGTTCATGCAACTTCTTCTACCGTAATTTCGACGCGACTATCAACTGTGTAGAAAAACATAGTGCTTGTTCCGGCCAGTTGAACTTTTAGTGGGGTGACTGTCCTTCACCTTCAATTACTTAAAAACTTACCAGAACTTCCGACTAACTCGGCACGAAATGAAAGAAGTGGTAAAACCAGCACTGGAGTTTGTTTCTGTACATGTAACTGTGACAGGAGCACAATTTTCGGAACAAAACGGCAAAGTCCGTCCCATCGGAGGTACATGTTCTGTACCAACAAACCGGCCACCGGTCCCATACCAGTGACAGGTACCTTAGTCAGTGAGCTAAAGGCGATTTATATGTCATGCATTTAAAGAATATGACTGACATTTCATTTAATGATGTGTTTTGTTCATGGCTGATTCTGACATGAAGCTGTAATAGCAGAGTAAGTTGTGTAGTATCTGTGTTATATATATAAAGACATACACAAACAATTGTCCCAGACTTATTTCACTTTTAAACTTTGTTCTCTTTACTATTTAAACTTGGAATAAATAAATTTTGATTTTCAATTTCAAGAACAAGACCAAGGAATTCCCTTTTCTAAATGTATGTTCTCGGTCAATTTCAGACTGGAAAAAATTGACCAGTGGAGCAATCTCATACCGCAAGATGCCAGGGGCTCATTTCTTTCTGAAACAGCCAGATAACAAGAAGAAACTGGTCAGCTTTATCAACATGAGATACAGTGGCTTCAATGACATAGTCTAGTCAAGTGTGCTTTGTTGTTAGGGTGGAGGAGGTGGAAACTAACAGACTTCTCCTTCTCAAGATGAGCAATTTTCAAACTTCTATATATGATATGAATATTTCTATGGTTTATTGTTTGAGATTGTTTTTACTAGTCATTTACTGTTCACAGCGGGGAAAGCTGTACAGCTTGTGAAGACCTACAATGAATGTACCCTTGTAAAGGTGGGGGGAGAGCACCACAATGCAATTTTACGCGGAACAGAAAAGAATCAAATAAGTTTTCTTGTCTCTGAAAAAATAGGGGGATTTTTTAAAGGTTACCGTAGGTACTTAGTACACACCTAAGCTGCTGAAGGAATTTGGAAATTGTTCAAAATCATGATTCTACTGCCTCGGAATGTTCTTTCAAGAAGGAGAATATATTGATTGTTGCATTATGTTATTATGTTCTTTTTTTCCAGAAAAGTTCAGTATTTTTTGTTTAAGGGTATTTGCTTCATTTGCATTTGATGTTTTGTGTCTTTGAAGATACAGAGAAACATGTTTACAACGAAGTTGTAACATCCAATCTTCAGTTCATTGAATCTGAGAGTTTGTTATAAGAAAGGTTTCACCAATTTGAGCATTGTTATCGACCATTTATATAAAGGAAAAGAAGCAGTGATATTTCAAAGTGCTTGCTTATACTTATATTAGCGGTTTGAACAATAGGGTCGCGCTTGTGCAAGATTCAATTTTTTTTTTTCATGTGAACTACACAGAACTTAAAAAAGCTTTACCAACGTCTTTTACTAGTAGAGATATTGGTTTTATCTTCAGTTACGTGTTTCTTGGTCTGTACCTGCTCTTCTCAGCTCTTCTTATCATCTCCTTGTCTTTCGATGACGTTTACAGAGAGCTTGATTCACTGCTGTATTTACCACACTATTGTTTCTTTTTTCTACCTTTTTGGAATTCTTAAGTTATACAAAGCAACTGGATTCCAAGCAAAAGTCACGGGGGTTTTTTTACTGCTATACCAAATGTGTCTTCGATTAATGATGATAACCGAACTGCTGCATTGTTACACCATACAAACAGGAGGCATTTTCTTTTCTTTGATGCCATACCACCCAATGCGTTGAAGACTGAATAACATTGAAAACTAAAGTGGTGGTGCTGCACAAAAATCTGAACTCTGCTGAAGCGCATGCTCTATAAAGAGGCTGATTTGTTTAAATGCACGCCTGATCATTTACATGTTCTTAAAATACTAGTCATATTGTTGATTTTAATGAATAAAAATGGAGAAGCCTTCTCCTTTAGTTCAGTCCAAGTTTCCATTGAATCCGAGCTCTTTGTATCCAAGTTTCACTTTATGAGTAGAGTGAGACAGGATACATTATTATATGGCTTAACAGAGAAAAGAAAAAAAAGAAACATTTGGGGGAAATGGTAAAATGATAATTGGATTAAGAAAAAAAGCATATATTGAAGGAGGGGGGATTGTTTATTTTTAAAAATAATGTTACATGCAGTGGAGCAGGGCAGGTTGGTTTTGGCTGGGAATAAGGGGGGGGGGCTAGACCCTGGTAGCGAAGAATGTTCTCGTCTGCTTGAATCACTTGTTCTTTGCTTTTTATGACTTTACATTGTATGCTGTGAATGTTTGTGCAATTGCTATGGTATACAAAACCCCTGCTAAGACAATTATACGAGAATTAAAAACCATATCCTCATGATTTTGCATGAAGGGGCAAGTTGTCTGAAAAAAGTTGAGAACTTCAGCTTGCTGCCTACTGTATACAAATGTACTGTATTGCATAGATTGGAGTAGTTCATGTCTCTGAGGGATTTAAAACAATCTTTCACCTAAAAAAAATTATAACATTAACAAGAGTACATTTTACTGTGTTGTGGGGGAGGGGAGAATTTCTAACTATACAGCTGAAATTTTGAGGTGCGTTGATGTTTCTGAGAGTTTGATTCGTTGTTAATGTTGCTCTTGTTGTTTTTGAAACTACCAGGGAAGAGTATTTTTTAAAATTCCTGGTGTTCTAAAAATATTCTGTGTCTCATTTAGATTTGTTTGTCACAAGACAGTTTGTGCCTAGTTTTGTGTTTGCCATGTCAAAATGTCCATTTAGATACATTCCAATAGTTATTGTAAATCTTGGAGGGCCAAGATAGTACTAGTACATTTTACCCATTATTCATAAATACCACAAACAGCAATGCGTCATTTTTGTGACCAATGACTTGAATGACAGAGGACTTGAGTTTTCTGAACAAGTTCTCCTTTATTATTTTTGTATTTTTTTTCTCTCTTTATATGTTTATATTAAATTTCTATTTTATTTTTGTTTTTTATTTTTACACTTTTTTTTGGGGGGGGGTGGATTAATTTTTGTTGTTGTTGTTGCTTTTTGGTGGGGGGGGGGGGCTGGAACCCTTTTATTACTTTTCTTTACCTAGGGGGCAAATATGGTTGTATTTATCATAAAGATGTATGTTTTCTTAATTGTTAATACTTATTTGAAAGGGTTGTGTGTGTTGGCAAATAGTAATAATGACAAAAATACATGTGTAACTTATAATTTGCAAAAGGCAATCATTGATATCGGTGTTCAAAATAAGTCCCGTAGGTTCCATTGTATAAACTATTGTGACTGCTTCTGTTGAATTTACCAAGATAAACAAATCTTTCCAACCTTTTTATTACTTGCATGGAGGGTACAAAGTTCTCATGCCATAGGTATCGAATGCTAAAGGATTAATCTACCTCATAGTGTTTTTGCGTCATTTCAAGAAATTTATTTCGTACTCTGATATAAATTTTTCTGTTTGCATCCAGCTAAAATATATGGAAAGGTGAAGGAGTTTCTCTGTGTATGACCATTTTCCTCGCAAATAACTAAAAAGCAATGAATGGTGCTTCTCATTATTCCAGTCAAATCCAACATCTGTGACAAATGGCTGGGTCTTCTTTTCCATACTTTTCAATTAATTTAGTCTATTTTGCATCTTCATGCTGTCCTCCCTTTCACAACTCTTTGACTTAAAGTTGTATTTCATATTTCCTTTTTGTACCAGGGTCTGAGAACTTTTGTGGTTGAACAACATTCCTTTTTTGTCATGAAAATAGTGCTTGATTTGTACAAGTACAATGTGCCAATACTAGGTATGACCGTCTTACATATATATGTAGGAGGATTGTAGTCAGTGTATTTGTCTTGCACCATCTGATATATATATAGCTTGAATCGTGTGTAAATTGATTTCACTGCTGCCATTTATTTTCACCAGTAGTTTTTATTTTCGTTTATTGACACCAGTCCTGAAACTGCCACTGCTACGCTTTTCAATGTCAAAAGTGATAAAACTGACATGACATAAAATTTAATTCATTTCTAAGTCAAAATATGTTTAATTAATATGACATTTGAGGCAAATTTTTCACACACAAGAAGTTTTATTTGAACTGCACCAAGAATCTAGAAATATAGGGATACATACATGTAATGATCCCATTTTACCACCATTTGAAGCCCACTGATTACTCTTGTTTTACTTCCACTGTAAGAGTCTGAGCTAATACCCCTGCATATGTTTGAAGACCGCCTTGACGACGTCCTCCAAAGACTTAAAATTTAAAATGCATGGATCGCTTTTGTGAAATTAAATACTATATATGGAAGTCAAAGATCTTTTCATTGAAGACGAAATTTACAATATATATATATACAGAAGGGCAATATTTTGGCTGTATTGAGGTATGGTCCAGTGATATGGAAAACAAACAAAGCAATTCAATGAAAATCAAAAAGCTTCCAAACAAAATGTTTACGAAGGATTTTACTAACACAATGGAATGAATTTATTGGAAGTAATGAAGTGTTGGAAAGAGCTGGAATTGAAGATAACAACACAACTATAAAAAGGAGAAGATGGGGATACCTAGGAATGCCAAAGACCAAGATTGCTCTATCAGACATGGTATTGGAAACCAACTGGAAAAAGAAAACGAGGAAGCTATAGATCTAGAGATACAACAAGGGATGAGGCAATGACCCAGGGCCTAGACAAAATTTGCTGAAATTGGAGGACGTAGCCAGGGACAGGCAAGCATGGCGCCAACTGCCCTCCGCCTTATGTACCTGGCGGTATAGGGAGAGAGTAAGTAGTTAGTATGTGTTTGAATTGTTCTAAAACATTTTCGTAATGTCCATAAAACTGTTCAAATATCAGTATGACTGCAATGTAAAGGCACAATATTTTCTCCATGTACTTGGTCACACTTGTGGTTATCCTTTCAAAATAAAAGTTTGATCTCATTTCTTAAAAAAGATAACTTACCACAGGCTAGCACGCACATAGGGAAATCAGTGGGAAGCTGAAATCTTTTTGTTATTTACGAATTTTGCAATGTATATGTTTTATGTGTTTTAAATACAAAGAATATTTATATACAGTCGAATCTACTCGTAACGACCAGCTGTATGAGAATGAGACAACCACTTTTACAAATATGGCCACTTCCCATTTTGACCCTTTTGTTTGTTTGTTTTTTGGATGGGGGGGGGGGGGTATTTTTTGGCTTTTGATAAAAAGACACTGTACAAAGACAGCCACCTGTCAAAGATGGCCAATTTTTTTCTTCAGCAATGGGTGGCCATCCTAGACTATTTCGACTGCATGTAAAGAAAGAATTGGGTGTAGAGACAGCATACGTACATGTACACATATATAGATATCTACACACACACAATGACATCGTGCAAACGCCGGGGAGTGAGTCATCGCTCACTGTTATAATATAAGTGTGTTGTCTTTTTCATTCTATGCCTTCATTACAATTTTGTCCTACGTTGAAGAAGGTTGTGTTGGTGTCATTTCCTTTGCTCTACATGGGGACTTTTAAAATCTGTTCATTACCGGTATGTACATGTTTCGCTATGGCCGTGCTAGACTGTAGGCCCTATATATTTTTACTTTTACTGACACTGACTAGAGGTGACAACCTATTGCAAAATACATGACTTACTGTGCATGTTCTTCTTTGCCTGCATATTTTACACTTGCTTCCAATTGCTTTAGTTGTCTGTCAATCCAGCCGTAGAGTGTTTTCTATAGATCTGGTTCCAGAGGATGAACGGAAACTCAGATGTCATTTCTTGCTCAGTAATGGAAAAGGTGATGATCCATTCACTACATGAACTTAATTTCATGTAGATAATCACAGCTTACTTATTTAGGAATGCTGTAATTTATTTAATGTAAAAATTCCATTGTACTTGAACTTTAACACACTCTGAGGCTTAGGTTTTGGAAAGAAGTTTTTTTTGGGTTTTGCCAATAATTAACTATTTTAGAGTTTTAAATTAGTAGCCATTTAAGCTTAAAGACATGTTGAAGGATATATATCTTAATCTAAATTCTCAAGATACTCTGTATTTATTTTGGTTCGACCATCCAGAGTTCTTGGCATTACTTTTCATCCTGTCGGGTTGTCCAATTTTAAAGAAGAAAAAGGGGGATTACTGCTTTTATTCCTCTTCTTGTTCACAAGAGAAAGCATTTTAATTTAAGAAGTTAAAAAGGACTGCCTGTGATGCTGAGTTACTGCTTGTAGAGATACAATCGAAAGTGTTAAAATACATAAACAGACATGTAGTGATAATATGAAATGTAGGCCTACATCAACAATAACTGTCGCAGTGTGTTCAAAATAACTACAATAGATTTTGTTGAACAAGAAACATGAGTGAGGAGAATGTTTTTATAACGTATCTTAGTCTTTCTGCTGGGATGTTGTTGTAATGTTGTGTCTCTCTCCTCAGCCCCGGATGACCTTGACTGGCAGGGTCAGAAACCCGACTCCTAAATGATCTCAATTAAGTCAATGGGGACGCTATGACATCTACTTTTTTTAATGTAACTTTGTAAAATTTGCACAGTATTGACATGGTGCAAGAGGGTTCAGCAGTCTTTTCAAACAAAAATAAAACTTGGCCTAATTTTGGATTAATATATTTTGTGACTGTTACCATTGGTATAAATGTAAAATGAAAAGTTTTTATATTTTCAACCAGTCATTACAGTGTATTCAACTCTATTTTTTATATTGTATAATGTGATGTGATAAGATTTTCTCAAGTCCTGCTTATTCTTTTTTACATAAATGTAAACCTATACACATATATGATGTACTGGAAATACTAGAAATGTCGCTTGTTTTCAAAATATTGAAATAAGAGGACAGCACTGTTGACCCAGCATTATGTTGGTGGCGTTGGTGGCCTAGTGCTGGTTAGGCTACCGGACTCTTAATCATGAAGTTGCAGGTTCGGGGGTGCAGGCCCGACGTTGTATCCTTGGGAAAGGCACTTTACACAAATTTTCCTCACTTCACCCAGGTGAGAATGGGTACCCGGCCAAAGACAGCAAAAGATCTTGTCAGTATGTTAGTTTTTTAGCACCTATAAATGGTTGCTTGCACTGTATGCTTCCCAGGAAGTTGAGGTTGTTTCAGAATGCTCTCAGGTCTACTGGGGTAATAGTAATAGTACAAATTGTGAAGTGCATAGACCTTGCTGTTGAGCGGGGATTTGCGCTATACAAATGCTATCTATTATTATTATGATTATAATTTTGAGTAATAATATTGGATCAACAGGCGTTTATGTCAATTTGATGAAGTCTACATCATTAAATCATAATCATTCATGTGCAGAAACTGTGTTCTGAGTCTATTTTTCATTTGCCTGTAGTTTTAGCCTACAAACTTTCCCAAAAGTTCTGCAAATTTACTTTACCTCTAAATTTCACTTTTACACGATTTTCACTATTTTGTTGATGTAATCTGGTGGCTACGGTACTTCAATTTCAGTTTTCATCACATCTTCAAGTAAATGTGCATGAATGCATTCTGAAAAAAAATTTGTAAAAATACGAAATTTACACTTGATCATTGTGATCAGCAGTGTGAGAACACTGTTCTCTCCGAACACTCCTGTGTGTCAAAGCCATTTTTTTTAAAAGCTGTTAGTTTGTGTCTCCAAGGGTTTGTAAACCCTTAGAATTAAAGAAAAAGCCCTACTTGCCTGACCTTCAAACCAGCTTTTGACAAGAGGATTGGATGTGATGGAATTAACAGTCTAAAAAGTGTTCAGTTAAATTAAGTTAAATTTTAACATAGATTTTCAGGACCTTGGCAATAACGCAGACCATGTTTACTCCAGTACTCCTATTCTTCTGCGTTAAAAGCACAAATTTATACATATGTACACAATAAGTTATAACCCAAAGTGGGTAGGCTCACAGATATATAAGCCCATGTGGCCTCCTGATGAGGGACATTCGTACAGGGCAACCTCTCCGGCAACTTTTCCCCAAACTTACTTTGTCTTCTACCCAGCTCTTTCCTGTTGTCTGCCTACTACCAACAGCTCAGTACAGAAGAAAAGCAGGCCCAAAAAAAAACAACCAAACAGTCCCAGTTTGAATTCCCAACAAGTCATTGTTGAACTGGGGTCATTTTGTTGAGTTTACAAGGCTCTTACTAAACCCCTGGCTTGGTCCTTTCGGAGATGAATAAAAATAGATTCAGAGTCCTGCCTTTTAAATAAAATAACATTGTTGAAAGGGGAATTAAACTCATACATTTACTTACTATAGAAACCCAAAACACTGGGACAGACTTCAAAAATATCTATTTTAGTCAAGCAGGAAATAAAACTCAATCACAGAAGAAAAAAGAATATGATACACATGTTTACTTCCTTTGTTAACATAAGGGAAGGCGCAAGTGGAAAAATAATGAACGTAACCAAAGTAAAAATAAAACCAGAAATATAATTCTCTGCTTATGGTTATACATGGTGAGAAAAAAGAGGGAGAGTAAGTAGGGTTTTCCAGCTTTGATCAGGTGACAACAGATCAAAATTTAACAGTTTTATGTTTCATTTTTATCAACAAACTGTACAAAATGTAGCCCAAGGCACTCACTGACAAATCAGTAGGTACAAAGCAAGTAAAATATCCTGATATACATGTACTCTGATTATCATCCACCATTTGGTGCAAAAACAACTAACTTTAAGTTAAAGGAATTAATTGTAACATTCTAAGAATATATATGTGAGGCATCATGGTGAAATCAGGCGCTCGTCAAAATAATAAAATCTGAGAAATATGCATTTTTCAGCCAGTTTGGAAAATTTTTTTTTGAATTTTCGTTTTTTGGCTCAACACCTTGTATCAAAAACAATTTTATGTGTGGATTTTATGGAAAAACGTTGATAAAATGAGAAAAAAAAATGTAAATTTGCAGTTTCCAAGGACTCTTTAGCTATGGAAGTCACCAAACTTTGGCCGCCATTTTTTTTGCTAATTTTACTTCTGAAACCAGGTGATCCCACCTCCCTCAATCACAAATATCTCACTTCTATTCAAGATAAATGGATATTTTTTTCATTGAAAGCAAGGCAAATGAACAACCTTTAAGATGACACCAATAACTCCATATGCTCACAAATTGACGAGCGCCTGACTTCACCAGGTCGTGACACATACAGTCAGGCACAGATAGCACAAACACGGAAAACTCGTGAAATCACAGATAACTCATAGAGTTTGCCATTCCCCAACTGATATCTCTTTAATTTTTTACTATACAGTTTACAGTTTACTTGAATTATGGATGTGTCAAACACATTTTTCATTCCCCCCGACGTGTTTGAGTTATCCAGGCACAGTTGGACGGATGCGTGATTTCGACCTGTGTTTTTTGCCTTAGTTTTAGTGTTAGTAAGGTTTTACAGCACTCACAACTGCATAAGGTCAGATGAGTGCCAAGGGATGGATGTCAACAGAGAAGTCCAAATGGGGAACCAGGGTTACTCTGCTTACCTCTCTAGCCACAACAGCACAAAGTCTGCTTCCATTATCAAAGTACCCCGGAAATAGCAGTTCACAAGAAAGTCACAAACGTACAAAAGAAGTAGAGGAAAAATGAGGATAGTAAGGATGAGGAAAGAAAAAGCAGCAGTCCCCCCTATGTTGTTCCGGCACAGTATGAGTACAACATTGATAATCAGCCCATTTACAATTCTATTGTGTATAAGAACATGTTAATATCCCCCCTTTGGGAATGGCCTAAAGCCTTAAGACGGACTTCAATCAGTAGCACTGCCTCGTTGTGGGGGGGTGTTCGACCTATCCGTGTTACACTGTGTATATATATATATATAATTTTTATACAGTATAACACATAAGTCGAACACGGAAGACTCAAAATCACGCATCCATCGAACTATGCTTGCGGTCCCGCTATTTCAAAATTCTTTATCTTTGAAAGATATCCCTCGAACTACCCAGGCCAGTCCCGACGAATTCGATATGTCTGTGTTATACTATATATATGAAATTATAAGTATCATGTACAGACCAAGTTTACTGACTGGGTACTGAGGAGTAATGGTAAGCAAAAGTACTAGAAACAATAAGTGGGGACATTGAAGGGAGGGGGCATTCTGATATCATCACTGATAGAGAGAGATAAAGAAACTGTCACTGAGCATCACATCATTTCTTTTTGAAATATGTCAAGAGAGTATTTTGACTCTTACATTTTATTTTCTCAGTGGACTTTGAGTCTTTCTGCTCCATTAAGGACTTGTTTGCATCAGAGCTAACAGAACGAGGTGGACTGTTGCCCATGACAACATGCGCCATGATCTCCCCTTGGATGTTGCTGGGCAAAGCAGAAAAAACGTCTGGATCTATGTGGTCAGGCAGTCGGAAGTGAGACTTTGATGATGGACACAGTTTTGGAGGTGAACTTAGCTCTCCAATTGAACTACTACTTGAGACTGCAGGAATAGAATATGATCTAGCTGCCTGTAACTGTGGCACTTTAGACTGAGTAACTGTCTTCTGATCACTAATCATGGACGGACTGAGCAAGCTAATTTCTGGCTCATTTGGCACATGTACATTTTCATTCGCTCTATTTATTTCTGTCTTTTCAGTCATGGTTTCACCAACTGCTGTTCTTGGGAATAGCCCTGAAAACATCTTTGGTGACTCACGAGCAGCTTCCTTATTGTAAGTCTTATCCTCAATAACCTCTTCACTTTCAGAATTAAAAGGTGTCCTCCCTTTTTTGTTTCTGATCTCTAGAGATTGAGAAGACTCATTGGAATGAACACTTGAAGTATTATTTGTCTCAGTACCTTGTTCTGGTTTTGGGCTTCTTGATTCTTTCAACAATTCAGATGGTTTTGCATGTCTGCTATCACAGGCCTCTTTTTCTTCCTTTAATTGATCTAAAGTAACCTTCTTGAATTTGGCACCTTTTGCTTCAGCAACACTCGCACTGCTGGTGGTAGACGTGGACCTACTCTGCCCACATAAACTGTCTCTGGGATACAAACGTTTCTTAACCCTTGTACTTTTTCCAGTGTTGCCAGTGGATCTGGTTGAGACTCTGCTTGACATAAGCACAAAACGTTTGCCTTCAGGAAGTTGTTCTACCATGATGCCGTAGTCTGCTAGTACACTTTGCTGGACACCATTCGGCAGCTCAAGCACCATCTCAGAGTCAATTCCAGAGGGAAGAAGTTCCTGTAAATTGGTTACTGCTGAGGGAATGTCTGTGTCCACTGATTGTGGCATTGCCATGTTATACTCAGCAGCAGATTTTTGAGTAACCTTGCACACTGCTGTGCTATACTCAGCAGATTTTTGAGTAACTTTGCACATTGCTGTGTTGTTCTCAGGAGACTTTTGAATAACCTTGCACATTCTTACATCCATTTCTTTGACAGAACGGATAGCTCTAGCTTCATTGTCATCCTTGTCAACAGACTCACAAGTGCTAGCCACTTGTCCAATTCTATTGTCTGCATTTTTTCTGGATGAGGATAAACTTTGAGGAATATCTTTTGGTGAGCATTCATTTATCACACAATCTTCATCTTTGCCACAGGTATTAACTGAACTCTCATCCAACTTTAAATCTGAAGTCTTTGTGGGACTCACAGCACCTGAAACTTTAATTTCTACCTTTTCACTGGTGTAGTCATCATTGCTGGAGAAGAAAGAGCTGATTTTCCCCTGACAGTTACTGGCTTCTCCCATTTTAGCAAAGCAAATGTTGATCAGGGTCAAATGAAAATGTTTCGAGGCATCCACCATTTTACAAAACAAATTCATTAGGATGGGCATCAGGCTTCTGCATGCAGTCTCCAGGCATCCTGAGAAAAAAGTCGACAACAAAAAAATGCTTTATTATATTTTTTTAATATGGTGTAACTAAAAAGAAAACTATTGATTAGTATAATAGAATATTCCATATCTACAAAGAAAGATAAAAGTAAAGAGGAGACCGCTCAGTTTGAGATAGCCGAGTATAGAGTCTTTGATCAATAAGAATAGTGCTGTCTTTTTCTTTTTAGAAAATGTGAGTCAGGCTGCAAAAAGGGAATGTGTCGGACATTTTTACTTTTTCTTACCACCTCATTACATGGACTTTACTGGGTAAAATCTGCACTTTAGATTTCGAAGATGTCTGGTCTAGAACTGAAGTTATGATGAAAAAAGTATGAAATTAGAAAAAACTATGAACTAAGTAAAAACTGGTTCAAAGTTTCAACATGCATACAGTAGTCTCCGCCTAAACGCACGGTGCTCGGGAGGGCCTCTGAGCGTGCGTTTACATGAACCTTTGTAAAAGGAGGAAGCAGTCATCTCATTGCCTTGATATATTCTAGTGACCTCCCTTAGGGGTGGGAGTCACTTTGGGCAAATAAAGTTACGATACGCGTTTTGTGAAGGATTCCCCCAATGCGGTTAAGATTACAAAGGTGTGAATGGGTGGGGGGGGCAGAAAAACAAATTCAATGTAATGATGCACCATAAAATGTCGGGAACAGATAGCCTAAGAGGAAACTGTTGGTGAAAGTCATAGAGACGACGCCGCAGCCACGTGGCTTTCCAAGCGACACCCCCGACCGCCAATTCAGGAACGAAATCAGAACAGAATCATAGATCTCTACAATCGGAGAAACATTTCTCTTGTGATTCGTTGAACAAGTACGTTAGATCTATAAGTTCTTTGAACGCAGGTGATTAGGCTTACTTGACTAATCTTTCATCCTATAGAGTAGGGCCTATCTAATGTTTTACTGCATTCACGCGTGTTGCGCATCAAAGCCTAGGTCTAACTAAACAACACGAAACATAACATGCGGTCACCCAAACACCAGTCAGAAACTTCTCTCAGGGTCAGAGATGCATTTCCAGTGACCAATCAAAAAACATTTCAGTCCCCCAACCTTTCCTCCACCAGTCCAAGATCTATGTGTCTGTGGAAAGTTGGGTGTGAAAACGCTGTCCATCGCTCTTTTTGTTCAGCGTGAGGGGTATTCTCACCAACTATCCGTTTTTCTAAGCTTGTCATGCAAGCTGTGCAATTTATATTGTGAACATTTCCTCTTGTCAAGCTTTACCTGTCGGCGTGTTTCGCGGATCAGAGTGTGTGTTTAGAGGGAATGACCGTGCGTTTCTATGTCTAAATCATATAGTAAAAAACCCGTCAGATGACGAAAGAGTGCGTTTGAGCGGAGCGTGCTTTTAAATGGCGTGCGTTTAGGGGGAGACTACTGTATTTCTTTATATCTTAAAAACACAGTCTTGACAAACTTTGGTCTCAGGCACACCAAGTTTTAGAGTTATACCATAAACATCACCAAAAAAATTAACAAATAGAACAAATAAAAATACAAAGAACAGGAGAAATTAAATGTAAAAGCAATGGAATGTCAAAAACTTTCGAAGATGAAAAAATAAATAGTATGTCAGAAATAAATCAAAATAAAATACCTATACACCTTATTTCAATAAATGACTTTTCAGAAAATAGACATAAGATGTTGGGGTACCCCTTGGTATAAACAATCAAATTTTCACTTTGGATGACCAAATCTCAAGTTTTTGCTTCCAGCTCAAAATTAAGTGTGCCAAAAATCTCCCCTTTCTTGCAGACTATATCACAAATCAAAGCAGCCTTTCTTTAGCACCATCGAAGACCTCCAACTGAAAAGTTGAAAGTATAAAATTATGTCTTATTCAGTTGTTTTTTTAAACTAACTCACTCACCTTTCTTCTGGCACTTTTTGAAAATACTGGCTTGAACAGGACACTGTCTACTCTCTCTGTGGTAATTATTCTTCACTCGTCTAACTGTGAGGCGAATTGTCTGGGGGATCCTTCCATCTTCTACAACTCTGAAACAATATTAAATTTACCAAATAATGTTTAAACTATAATATGGCTTCGAAAACTATGGCAATAGAACTCTGACAGGTGCAGAAATGTACAAACTCTATATCAAGATCAATGGACAATGTGGGGGGTTGGTGGGTGCTTTATTGCTGTTTGCTCCTTTTTTGCTATCAAACATCTATCACCTTTATCTCTCTTGCTTTTTTGTGTTTGTTAATCTTTCATAACATTTTTAATCTTCAGCATTTATATGACCTTATTGAGTTGTAAGTGCCATAAAACACTTACTAAAACAAAACATTGGACAATAATTTGAGCAAAAAAGAAATTTTAAGCATTTCAAAGTCCTGAGGGGCTGCTTCGGTGACAATAGTTTGCTTGACAGGTAGATAGAAGCAAACATGGACAAGTAAATAGAGCTGAACCTGCCTTAATGGCCACCTGTCCAAGACAATCACCTGTACAGACAACCACTTCCCACTTCCACCCTTACATTTTTTAGATAACAATGATGTTGTCCAAGATGTCCATCTGTCTAAGATAACCCCTTTTGTCCTTCACAATGGGTGACCGTCTTTGACAATTTTGACTGCATAGTAAAATGCACCCCGCCGACCCAATCCCCCCTCCTCATTTCTTTGGGACAACTTTCAAAAGGTACAGACATGCCACAAGAAAGTAAACACGGTCAAGCAGTAAAAATTGTAAAGAGCTTGAAAAACTTGAAATGATTACAACTCCACATCTCAGCAAAGTAAAAGCATTTGAGGAGAGCACAATTTATATTTTTTTCCACCACAACTTCAACACGTTGTCAGATAGATACAGGTTTTTAGTAAGGCAGGGCACTTGCGGCACCGAAATCTGCTAGGCTCACAATTTTAAGTGAAGTGTACGTTTTGTCTGGATGGTTAGGTTCTTACAATCAGAGTTAGATCAAATCAATTCATTGTACTCTTAAAGCTAGACATTAATGAACAATTAACTTTGACCTCTGAGGGAATAAAAAAAAATTTGGGTTCGATTTATACTATCAGCACAATGATTTTCCAATATAACACAAAAAATTAGCGGTTTCACCTAACACTCCTCTCTTGAAAGGCTTAACGAGAGAAGTAGTAAAATAAATAGTGCCACAGACATAAGTGACAAAAATCAGCCAAACCTAACTGTCCTGCACTTGAAATTCAGTTATTCAAGTGAGTGGCACCAAGTAAGCCAATAGCAAAACCTAGTGAGCCACTGGAATCAAAATACATTGTGGCCCAGAAAACAAAAAAGCATGATTTTTAAGAGTCAGAAGAAAATAATAGAACGGGTATAAATGCAAAAAGATCTATTAAGAACAGCTGTCATGACCACAAAAATTCGAAATATAAGAAACATCTCTAGTTGCTAAATGAAAGTCATAAATGCAGCTATACAAGAGTCAAACATTTTGCAAAAAGCAGCAAACCTTTGTAGAAGGCTAAGAAGAAGATCTTTGATCCGCTTTTCTGCATCAGAGTATTCACTGCAACATTTGAAGGAGTCTTCGTCGCTCAAAGTCTGAATGTAAAGAATCAATTAATTTTTCAAGAGTTGAAGACACTGATCAGTTTCATATTGTTTTTCTCTCCCATACAATAAGACTGACAGATCTAGCTATGATGATTCTAAAAAGAAACAAACACACAGGAAAGCAATACACTGATGGACTAAAAGCTCAATGTTTCAAAATTTACTACAGTAGAGTGGTTATTTTCCACGGCTTAGTTTTTGTTCGAGACAAGTGTTTGCAGAGTGTCCAATTTGTTCTTAGTTACATCTGTTTTAATAAATGATCGTTTATTTAACAACTGCTCCATATATCTACCCAGACTCAGTGGTGTTAAACTGACAACAAATATTGTGGGGTTATTCATATAAAAATCTTAAATCTGCCTACCCAGTAAAATTCAAGTCTTAAGAGAACAAGAAAGATACACATATGCTAAATGTTGGTGCCTGCTTTACCATGGAGGACACAAGAGAAATGCATATTGCATTTGTTGGTGAATTATACCGTGTCTGTAGCCGCTGGCATACATAACTTAGAAAGATGCCATCAGATATCAACCGAAAATTTTGTAAAGACACGAGCTGAGATACCATTTTTGTTTATGGACTAAACATTAAAAATGACAGCCAAGACTTCATTTTATGAATTGTTCATGGCACTTATGACGTGAAGAAAGAAAACTGGAACGATGTTCCGAACATTACTAAAAGATTACACTAATAGGAGCTTTTCTTTAATTCAAAGCAGACCAACAAACCTGAGGCAGACTAAAAGTGGTCACTGGTGAGTCATCGATGCCAAAGCTGAGTTCTCTCAGCAGCTTAGCAGTGGCAGAGCCGAACTCCCCTTCAAGCAGGCTCATCTCAGCAGCCTGCAGATCTCGCACAGAACTAATTCCCATTGCTTGCAGACGCCGATTTGACTTCGACCCTATACCTGTTATTATAGGATTGTGGGAGAGGGAGGGATGAGCATGGGTAAGCCAATAATAATACAATGAGACAGGCCCTTATTAAGGACTTTTGAAAAAAAATTTACGTTTAGATGCTTGATCCAGTGGTGCCCTTAAAACTGTTTAAGCTATTGCTTAGAAATGAGAGGCATCGTAGTGAAATTAAGCTCTCGTCAAAATAATAAAATCAAAGAATACTGTATTTTTCTTCCCATTCGGCAATTTTTATCAAATTTTAATTTTTCGGCTCAGTACCATCTAGGTTAATTTCAAAACTCAATGCTTTTTGGCTTTTACTGAAAAACGCTGATTACCAAATTTTGTCAGCCATTTTCTCTCTAATTTTACCTCTAAAACCATGTGACTTCACCTCCTTCAATCTGGAATACCTCAACATCTATTGAACATAGCTGAGTATTTCTTTACTGTCAAAAGCAAAACAAGAGAACAAGCTTTACAATACTTCCAACAACTCCACATGCCCAAATTTTGACGAGCACCTGATTCCACCGCATCATGACACAAATGGCAATTCTAGCTGTTTATTGTTTGAACAGTTTAATTCTAATCCCCAAAAACAACCTTCATTTAATCCATCATTCCATGTGCCATAGATGAGAGGAGAGGTTTTCAACTTTTTTATGAAGCCACTTGAATGCCATAAAATTATGAGTAGCTATACATTTCACTGATTGCTTTACTAGGAGATACATTCCTGCACACATATAGCAAACACTCACATAGAGAAACACAAAAACGGACAAATTTTTCAAGTACCGAATTTTTACTTACGCAATATCCTTTGTATTTAAAACACTTACGTAGTGAAATACGTCCATTACAGAAAGAATTTGCTATGTGCATGACAAACTGTATGCAAAATAATCATTACCCAGGCACCAATTTCTCTCTTTTAAAATACATTGCGCTGAACCGTATGTATTTGACCATAGTTTTCTTTCAGCACTTTGAAAACACTGAGCCTGCCTGTTTCTTTAGGTTCCTTCACCTAAAACAACTTTCCCTCTTATCTTTTAAGGCCATCTCTCACATAAACTACGATTGTGAAGCAACGAGATGAAAAGAATGTATGCCTATTCTGACTATTCAATAATTTACTTACAAAAACTTACTATCTTGAACCTAATACCTCATTTGTCTTTCTGTGCCTCATTCAGGACATCTCCAACTCCAACAGAAAATTGAACAAGAGTTCCCAAGTCAGTTTGTCAGTTTTTTTAAAAGTGACAAACCAACACCCCACTGGCCGAAAAAAATGTACTTTAAACTCCCGAAAAATACACTCTCCCCTCCCTTTTGAGAAAGGATTGTAGAAACCATTTGAATTCCCTCTCTAAAATGACAAATATAAAAAACTGATAACTTCCATAGAATAAAAAGTACTCATCTGCAGAACCTGAAAGGGAAACTATATACTTTCTGGTTTTGTTCTTTCTTTCAGTACCGGGTAAATAAATAACCAGTTATTACCTAAAGTGGCATGACACTTTTTATCTCAAAGCACTGATGGTATACTTAACATACCTTTTATCTCAAGAGGACTCAGCAATTTATGTACACAAAACAAGGGACTGCAATCCAGCAACCACAAATGGCTTGATTTTGTTTGAAATTATTGGAATATGTGTGATCGCAATTATGTCAGTGTAAAACAAATTTTCTTCCACAAATTTATCTCCTCACCCCCTTCCATCCCTCCACCCCTAGTTTGATAAGCAGTTTCAGTTTTGCTTTGTTTTTCTAGCCCTAATCAAATTTCCTCATAGAAGAAAAAAAAAATTCAAGAGGGAATTATTTTTGGTACCCATAGTTTAATCTCTGTCTGAAATAGGAATGAGCCAGTAAAAGAGATTCCCTGTAAATAACGAAGAACCCAGATTTTTTAAATGATCAAACAAGAGACCTTCAGATGCTCGTTTAACCTCAGTACGTCATGTCATTTATACATTTTGAAAATAATAATCACGCCTGATTCTTAAAATGATTGAACCATGGACCTTCAGACTATGAGGTTACAGTCAAAACCCCTATATTAAATCAGCTCATGAATTCACCTGGAATGGACCGTGCTGAGGGCAGCTGCGACACTAAGCTAAGAGACTGATGAGGAAGAACTGATGTTTGTTGATTGGGCTTGTGTGTTCCGGCTACCAGTTTGGCCAATAGCTTATTGTGAGCCACCCCAGCACAGCATGTTATACCCATCTCTTTGTGTAGAGCTTCTCTCATATCAGCAGCAATTTGGGAACCAATCTGTAGCCTCAGTTTACATCCACAAGTACAGGTAGTTTGTTGAGAAGAATCTGAAAGGGGGAAAATATTTTCATTCACTTATAAATAGCAAAACAGGACTCATGTCTGAAACAAATTCAAGCTGTAACCTCAAGTGTTTCATCAACTCTTCTGGAGAGAAAAAAGCGCTTCAAACTTTTAGTTTTAAACTTAATGGGTAGCAAAATATATAATATAAAATATTAATTCAACACTGCCCCAAAGAATTCATGACCAATCCTCATCATAAATACTGACACATAGATAAACATCACCGGTAAGTGTGAAAATATCTGAAAATCTGCAAAAATAATGCTAAGATTTCACTGGACAGTTACCTTCATTCATATAGGTATGGCCCACAAACTGCTCCTTGCACTCTCCATGGATAAAGCGATGGTCCACTATTTCCGTCACATCGACAAAATTCTCATCAAAACCTAAGCGTTCTACAATTGGGCTGTACTTCTGCAAGAATTCTGGAAGAAGAATTGGTTTTAAAGCAGAAAATTAGTGACAAAACTATGACACACTTACAATGTATACTTCCCCTGACAAATTCTTCAGACTCCCTTAAATGTAATAAAAACTCAAATTTAAAAGATATAGATATATAGATTTGCTGTTTTTCAGATTAAAAAATCATAACCGATGAGGTAACCCCCAAATGATTATGTTCATTGTGTATGTATCTGTCTACACAAATGTTTTTATAGCACTTGTTATTGCTCAGGTCTATTCAAAGTTTCTTGAGCCAAAAATCTTGTGAAGTCTTGGGAGAAAAAAAAGTAAGCTCAGATTGCTTTTTGTTTTCCCTGTAATTTCAGCGTTTCAATCTCTTCCCATTTTGCTTGTGACACTGATGGCATGTATTTACTGATAATAATGTAAGAAAAATGCTCATAACAACTTTACAGGCTATGAAATTGGTTTCCCTGTAATAATGTATATCAAATAGAAAAACATACAGAGGACACTGAAAGGAAAGAAGATAAATGTCAGTTTGCTAGTCAATCCAAATAAAGAAAAATTCTTTGAACTAATCTTGTAGATTTCTCAGTCAAAACCATTACATTCTTTGAAGTAATGTTGACTCCACTGAAGAACAGGCCTGGTCTCATTCTCCCATCCTTGAGAAAAACAACTGAAACATTTAGAAGGACTTCCTTTCTTTTTTTTTAACTAATACTGTTGCTTTCACAGGATGCCTGGTATTTCTTTTCAGTTCACTCAGGATGATAGATCATCACATAAATATTGGTAGGCGAAAGATAAAGAAACTAGTAAAATACAAAGAGAGTTATTCAAAATATTGCCAAATGTCACTTCTCTTGTTCTTCCATTGGGGTCCTCGTTTGGTATAACTTACAATTCTAAGTGCAGACGAGCAGTTGGCCAAAACAGCACTTCATTCTTATCAATTTAGCAACAAATCCTTTGAAACTATGCAATGAATAATAAAGAATTTTTTATGATTATTATACCATCAACAAAAAGAACTAACCTGAAATCTGGTATGACATGTGCCTATAGTTTGTCAAGTCTTCTCCGCTGACAAGAACCAAATCTGAGCACTTTTTTTTTGCATCAGTCAGGTACATGAGTTTAGTCACACCCTTTTCCCTTGCAATGTAATTGGAGGTCACCACAATGTTCTTTTGCTGAATGCCTATAACATAAAAAGAGAGATAAAAAGCAAGAATTAACTAAAAACTGAGTATGAATTGAACTATATTTTCCCTCAAATGATACAATTTTTCCAAAAAAATGTATGAGCATAGAAATGAAAGACTTAAAGATGGTATTGTTTTTGGTACTCATCCACAAAATGAGGGAGCCAGTATAAGAGAGCCTCTAAAATTCCCTATTCCCTGTCAATAATCATGACATCAGATTCTTAAAATGATCAAACCATGGACTTTCATATACTCATTTAATGTCAGTACATTATGTCTCTTATTCGTTATATCTCTGACAAATTGATTTTAGAAAAGTTTGAAGAAACCACATCTGTTATTACAAACAAAAAAGGCAAAGAACAGCTACGCAGCAGGTTATTTCTACTACCGCAATAGTGAAAACAAAAGACAAGATTGTGCTTCATTGAAAAAACTCTCAAAACATGGTCATCTCTAAAGGCAAAAATTCATATGTGTTGCAATACGTCCAAATCAGGCACTCCTCAGTTTTTGGGTATAAAGTTTTGATATCATCTTAAAGCTTGTCCATTTGTCTTGATTTTGATGGTATAAACACCCCTGTATCTTGAATAGAAGTCGAGATATTTGTGATTGAAGGAGGTGGGGTCTCTTGGTGTTGAAGGAAAATTTACAAAGCTTGATAGTCCTCGAAGACTACAAATTTACATTTTTTTGTACCTTTCATTAACGTTTTTCAGCAAAATTGACACTGAAATGTGTTCTTGAATGGACAAAATTCGATAAAAAATTGTCCAAAGGGTGGAAAAATGTATGTTTCTTTGATTCCATTATTTTGATAAGCGCCCGATTTCACACAGATAGCAACCTCCCCTTATGAAAAGACCAGAATACCCACAAAGGATCTATTTTTAAAATTGACAAATCCATAGCAAAGTATCCGTTTCATTTATGCTCAGTCAAAGACAGGTCTGAATTTTGACAGTAGAACCACCCTCAAACCTTCAGAAATAAAGCCACCAACCAGGTTGCTACGTGATCATACCAAGTAAATTGTTTGCTTCTCCTGTAAAATTTGATCCACTGGGGTTAGCCGGTCATATCATTGGGGCAAATATATTATACCTTCCAGACAAGTCAGATGCTTGATTTAATAGAAAAACAGAAAGATCAAACAAATTCAAATTTAAATTTTATCCCTGAGCTGAAGACATTAAAAACTAGTCTCAAGCACTCAAACTACTGACAACATATATCTATCAGATGCCACTCACCCAATGGTTTCGACCTTAACTCTGGATTACGAATCATTTCAACTTGAGCATAGAAGCAATCTATGTCAAAATGAATGACAACACGGTTGTGTTCTTTCTTTGGAGTAGGAACATCTGAAAAAAATATTACACAAGATATTAACAATGTCAAAGTGTAGTCCAATAATTTTTATTTAAGTACACATAAGGTAAAGGCCTACACATAAAAGTAATGAGGGATCATCTGATTAGTTTCTTTCTACTTTCAAACATGAACATGGAAGATGTTGTTGCTCTGTTGTTTTTTTATTGTTGTTTTTTTTTGGTTAGCTTTCTGTTTGCTGATTTTGTGAAAGGATAAAATTTTAAAAAGTAAGACGAAGACCGAGCTTCGAGGTAAAACAAACACTGAGTCGCCACCCCTTGGAGAACAAACAACGCTTTTGTCGCAAGTTCACGTTAACGTCTATTGTTACTTTGTTATGGATTAGGTAAACAAAACAGTGACCAGTCACTTCACGTACAATTTGTGTGAGTTGTGGGCACGGCTTATAGTTTATGACGGAAAAACACTTCCCTCACCAGAAGTTGAAAATGTATTGTTACCCATTGGTCAACTTGGGTAAACATTCATTTTAGAGACTAACAAGAATGACAGGTGAATGGGTAATGACGGCCCGTCCATAGCGCCAAAGGCCGATTTAGAATTTATGACAGAGCATTGGGCGATTATAGAGACCATGCCTGGCTGCCTGAGGTATGTAAATTTGACTCTGGGTTGATAAAATAAGGTGGCCACTGCCGCATTGGACAGGTGATCATTTTACACACTTAAATTATATTGAAAAAAAGCAAGGGGGAAAATGGAAAGTGCCAGTCTGTACAGGTGGTCGTATTATACAGGAGGCCATCATGGCAGGTTCGACTGTAGTTTTAATTTTATCAACCCCTTTTTGTCACCAGGAAAACACTCACAACTGTATTTCAGTAGTATATGTTAATACAACAATTTTGTTGTCTCAGTAGCTTCCCTCCATAAATGGAGCACTTATTAAGACAGATTAACCCAAATCAGTTCACAAAATTTGCGACTGTCTCACATACAGACTGTAAATTACATTTGAAGGGCATTGAAATCAATGATGCATTATTCATACTGAAGGGAAAAGATATAAGAGTAGAGGATCTAACATCACAATTAACTTGAAACTAATACAAATTGCAAAAGTCTGTCTTACCCTGAAGAGGCATTGCCCATTCCTCATCAGAGGGCATTGCATCATCATCAAACTGTGGTGAGTCCATTCCATCAGCAGCACATATATCAAGCTGTTCATTGAGAAGAATCATAAAGTGAAAAATCATTAAAGATGCGTCTCTGAGAGAAGTAAACAGGCAAAGAGACAGGATGGGGGGAAGAAAAGAGAGAGAGAGGGAGGGAGGGAAGGGTGGAGGGAGGCAGGGGGGAGAGAGAGAGAGAGAGAGAGAGAGAGAGAGAGAGAGAGAGAGAGAGAGAGAGAGAGAGAGAGAAAGAGAGAGAGAGAGAGATGATGGGGGGGGGGGGGGGGGAGAGAATCTTAGTGGTAGAATCTTATGATACTGCATTATCAATAATACTTCATGCACCCTGTGATCTGACTAGACGCTAGGTCTGTCCTCTCATCACTCGGGGACAGGGCACATTTCACTGGATGCTCTCATCTTCCACTCTGGGTTATAGAGTTAATACCCATTTAAATACACATTTTTATGTGAGGATTTTTCGAAAAAATGTGAGGCATCATGGTGAAATCAGGTGCTCATCAAAATAACAAAAATTGGAGAAACAGGCATTTTCCCGCCAGTTTTTGCAATTTCAATCAAATTTTAAAAAATTTATTCAACCCTTTTATGTTCAAATAAAAAATTATTTCTATATGAACTATATTGACAAATGTTGATTAAAGCTCAAAATATGCAATTTTTCAGTTTTCAAGGACTCTTTAGCTATTAAAGTTACCAAACTGTGGCGGTCATTTTCTCGTTATTTTTACCGCTGAAACCAAGTGAACTTACCTCTTTCAATCACAAATATCTTCACTTCTGCAAAAGAAAGAAGGGTATTTTTTTCATCAAAAGCAAGATAAATGAACAAGCTTTAAGATGATACCAATAACTCCACATACACAAATAAAGACGAATGCCTGATAACACCATCATGCCGTGACGCAAATGTTGACCAAGGGCACAAAAAATGTAAACTTGCAGTTCCCATGGACTCTCGATCTCTGAAAGTCACCAAAACTTTGGCGGACATTTTCTCGCTAATTTTACCTCTGAAACAAGGTGAACCCTGCCTCCTTCAATTGCAAATATTATGTCTCAACATCTGTCAAGATAGATGGGTAATTTTTTTATCAAAAGCAAGACAAATGAACACAAGCTTTAAGTTGACCAAATATTGACGAGCACCTGATTCCAGCATATGACACATTTTGGATGTAAAAAGTATTGAGCCAAAAGCAAGAATTTTATTAAAATTGCCTTACCAGTGGAAAAATGCGGGTTTCTTTGATTTCACTATTTTGACAACGCTTGATTCCTCAATGATGCCTCAAAATATTTAAGTTTGAACTTGTTTGATCTTTTCAATTTGCTTATTGTGAGATAAATAGAATTTACTACTTTTTTAGACTTTCTTCGGTTGTGGCTGTACGAGTACTGGGTATCGATACTGACTTAAGGGGGCTCGCGGGTCGGGTCTAGGGCCTCAAGGACTGATTTTCACTCACTTTGAGCACTTTTTACTTTTGGTATTTTCTGATCCCTCATTCAGTCTAGATTTTATTGGCACTAGTCGCTGAGTGATTAACATTAACATAATTCAGTTTTACTGGGTTCTATGTTGTGTACTAACATTTTCGATGTTTCACCTTGTTTGTCTCAAAACACAGATTTTTTCACAAATTTTTTGCTTTCATTTACTGGGTTTTTTCTCCGCCGTTTTTTTTATTTTCCAACACAGAAACTTCAAATTTGGCACGTAGTTAGAAAAATAGTTTGTACTTGTATTGGGCTGGTTAGTTTTTTACTTTTTGCTTTAGAATTTTATTTACAATTTTTTTTTTCAAAAATATTTTTTTAAAGATCAAATTCTATATCCCCAACTTTGAGAACAATTTTGGATATTTTCTAAGCATAGTATCAACAATCAAAACAGCCAGCTGCAAGCACCTATTTATTTGTGACATTTTGCAAGTTACAAAATTTTAACAAGTTAAAAACTTTAGAAATGGTGGAGCAAAAAAAATAGTTTATCCAATTTCAAGATGGCCGCTGTATCCATGGCAACGGCTTACGTAATCGAGTGTGTCAACAGTTGAACATGAATCTTTTGTCTCATACTTACTGCCTGTGACAAAAATTGTTTCGGTTTGTCTTTAGTTTAAAATGTTGTCCCGCAAGTATCGAGCCCCCTTAAATACTTGGTATCAATGTTTTATCCAAAATAGAGTGAGAGATGTGCTTTTATTTTTCAGTAGGCCTACAAAATGAGCAGTAATATTTCAAGAGATTTTAACAGGGGTGGGGGGTGGGGACATTTTTCATCTCAGATGCTGCCGCAAGATCTTGGGCATTTCATGGTGTGACAAGGTAACAAATGTTGAAGTCTAGGCACGAGCAAACCTCCAGGGCATGACAACTATCCAGTGTTTAAAAAGATTGAGATGGCTGGGCCATGTCAAGAGAATAGACGACAACCGGATTCCGAAGTAACTTGTCTATGAAGAACTTGCCCAGGAAAAAGAGACCAAGAGGAAGACCAACATTGAGGTACAAAGACACCTGCAAAAACAGCTTATCTAAGCTTGGAGTAGATATTAGCATCTGGGAAGAAATAGCTGAGGAAAGGAAAACATGGAGGAAAAGGATAAAGGAAAGAACTATAATGTATAATGCTAGAGAGCAGTTAGAAACAACCAGGCTGAGAAGCGCCAACGATGAAAGGAAAACACATAAAGCTGCGAGCACCTAGCACACCTCAGTGATTGGGCCAAATATCTTAGCGCGCGATTGGCTACACGTCAGTAGGTTTCATCGCCGACTGCTTTGGCTGAGTGTGCGTGTGTGTGTGTGCACCCGCGCTTGTGTGTGTGTGTTTGAGTGTGAGTGCGCACGCGTTTGAGTAAGTGTGTGTGTGTACAACTTTGAGGAGAAGGTAAATTTATGGAACGACAATTGCTGAGATTATAAAAGATAACACAAAATTAATTAATACCCAAAAAAAACAACCCAAAGACGGCGAGATCTAGTCAACAGTTACTGGCGAGAGAAACCCAAGAGTCCGGGGTTTTTTACTCATGCACCCGTCTCATGTACATATTTTATATATACTTTTTTTGCTAGTAGTATTTTGCATGCTGAACACAAATTTGGCCTTCATTTTTGATGCAAATCAATAGCTATTGAGTTATTGATGTTTGAAAATAGTAATATTAGACTTGATTTTAACAACACGGGGGGGTTCTAAAAAGAATCTGGGGGGTTTCAGGGTGGCACCATTTGACAATAATTTGATGTTTTGGCAATTAGGATTGATATATATTTACTTGAAAAGAATTGATTTGCAAGGGTTTTAGTGGCCATACATGTGTTCTACATAAAAAATTATGGTAGTTTAGCCCTCAAATCAATGCATCTGTGAGTGGGTGCATAAGTAAGAGAGTCTTGGGGGAAGTCCCCGATGACGACAAAAATAGATACTGGAAATACATTTTCTATACTTGGGCCAATCACAGAGGTGCTAGGTGCTCGCTGTAAGGAAAACAACGGAAATACAGAGCTTCGATCCATGTCACTGACATGCAAACACTGCGACAGAAACTGCGCTTCAACCATAGGAAGATTTAGCCATGAAAGAAGCTGCATGAAGACAACCTTGAGACCATCATATGCTAAATTGACCGTGTGCAAAGACAAAAGGAGCCATTATATATACAATAATGGAAGAGGTTATTCTCACCCTGCGTGAGAACAACCCATGTCTCGCTATTCTCACCCCCTCATTTTACTGGAAATGACCCAAGAGAGATAAGAGCTGAGGTTAGCGGTCATGACCCTGGGGGGGGGGGGTGTCAAGGCTGATGCTCCACAGCATAATGCTCGTCACTGTTCGTGTCCGAATAGTCACAGTCAGGGTTGTCGGTTTGGAGCCAAATAAAAAAAAATTGGCTCTTTTGGATACTGTTGGGCCCAGAGAATTTCATTTGGCTCTCTCATTTGGGAGGGGGGAAGAATAGCGAGACATGGGCAAAGGTGGCCTACAATAATTATGGCACAAACTAATCTAGAAGTAAATCTATTCGAGATTGGCTGCAAACGTTTGACCAATGTAATTAACGGAAGGGTTTTGTTGGGTACTACTTTTAGGGCTGGTGGGGCACCTAGAAATCGTGTTTTGGGGTAAAATTATGCAAATTGGGGTCATTACATATTATAGTACCTGGATATTTCCTGAACAATAAGCATTTGTAAGCCTTGCTACACTCTAAAGCTGAGGGGGGGGGGGGGGGGGGGGTCGGTTTTTCTGTGAAAGCACATGTTTTCTAGCCTTTTTATCTGCTGTTTTCTCACAATTCAATTTTTTCACACCTTATCCCATTTTTCCGCTCTGTATCTTGTTTAATTTCAACGTAACTTTCACAGGATACCAACAACACCTAAATCTAGTTCTAAATTTTGGCTTGTTGAATTTTCTATTAATGGAGTATTATTTGATAATATGTGCTCAGCACAATAAAAGAAAAGAGTGTGCGGGGCACAGCGAAAAAAAGTTTGCTCCGAGGAGTGGTCAGGCGTGTCTCAAACCAGCTCCTCATGGAGACAATTAGCAGGAAGACACTGGGGTGGACGCTGGAAAGGAGAGATGAGCAGCTATGGACATGTGCCGCCTGCTATGATTCTAGCTCTGGATCCAAGTAAATCCAAGTAAATCCAAGTATTTGATTTATGTGCTTGGAAAGCATGAATCTTCCATTTTTTTCACTTTTTTAGCAACAACCCAATTGTAAGTCTCATAAAATAAAAACTAAAACATATAAAAAATACAACACGCCAAATTTAAGACAGAGCTACGTAACAAAAATTACTGTTGGCCAAATTAGAAGTGAATCAGTTTATTGGGAATAAAATGGGATTGAAAAAAAGTATACAAAATCCAATATGGCCACCATTTTCATAGCAACCGATTCACAATATATATACTTTTTTAACTATTGATTTCAAATCCCCAATAACTCACGATACGATATCCTACAGCAAATAATAATATGGGCACTCTATGCCTTTAAAAGTGCGGAAGTGGCTATCCTCACCCGGGGTGAGAATAAAAATACGATCGACCTCTCACCCCGGGTGAGACTTGCCACTGTTGGCTATTCTAACCCGGTGTGAAACAAGACACATGTTGTTTTTTTTCTAATTTCAGAATACTTTCTATCAGTGTGGATGATCAAATGGATAAAGGCAAGGAAAAAAATTACGTTATAACACAAAAGTAAGCTAATTCGATCGTCTACAAAGATGCCATGGCTATTTCACTTTTCGAATCGAGCCGAACTATGCGGGTCGCCATTTTGTTTTGCCCGGAAGTTCTCGCAAGATCTACTCCTCCCCTCTTCTCTCTCTCTGTCTCTTTCTGAATACTGTCTATCGGTGTGGACGATCAAATTGATCAAAACAAAGTTAAAAAATGATCTTAAAACACAAAAGTAAATTAATTTGGTCGTCTACAAAGATGCTACGGCTATTCGAATCGAGCCAAACTGCGCGGGTCGCCATTTTGTTTTCCCCGGAAGCAGGGTTGGGTTGATTTAAATCAGGTTGATTTAAATCAGTTGATTTTTTAAATTTAAATCAACTTGATTTTTAAAATAAAAATCAGTGATTTAAATCACTTTTTGTAAAATTATTTTTATTCGGTTTTAACACATTTCAACATTCAGAATTCCTTTCCTTGGTTTCATAAAACAGATATAAGGCTCAGTAGACTAATATAATCATGCTTAAAAGTCTGATTTCCCCCCTTTCACTGTAAAATAATACAGTATTCAATTTACTTTTTTTCCATAATTGAAATCAGAGCTGGGTTGATTTAAATCAGTTGATTTTTTAAGAATTTTAATCAATTTGATTTTAAAAATAAAAATCAGTGATTTAAATCACTTTTCAAAAAAATATATTCAGTTTTTACATATTTCAACTTTCAGAATTCCTTTCCTTGGTTTTATTTTAAACGGATATAAGGTTTAGTAGACTAATATAATCATGCTTAAAAGTTTGCTTTCCCCCCTGTCACTGTAAAATAATACAGTTCTCAATTTACTTTTTTTTCATAATTGAAAACCAGGGTTGGGTTGATTTAAATCAGTTGATTTTTTAAAATTTAAATCAACTTGATTTTAAAAATAAAACTCAGTGATTTAAATCACTTTAAAAAAATGTTTTCTGTTTTTACATCTTTAAACATTCAGAATTCCTTTCCTTGGTTTTATAAAACAGATATATGGTTTAGTAGACTAAAATTGCTTAAAAGTCTGTTTTCCCCCCCTGTCACTGTAAGCAGTAAAATAATACAGTATTCAATTTACATTTTTTCATAATTGAAATTAGCATTTTCTTTTTCTTTTTAGACAAACACAAGCACGTGCTCACACACACACTGTAATAAAAATAAAATGCAAGTTTATCTATGCATAATTACCCCCCCCCCCCCCCTTCCTTTTAGACTGACATTTTCTTCATTTTTTGTCTGTAGCCATAATTCACTGATATAGCAGATTAAGGCTTTCTAAAGAAAGTGGCTATTCTCACCAGCCCGGAAGTTCTCACAAGATCAACTCCTCCCCTCTTCTCTCTCTCTCTGTCTCATTCTGAATACTGTCAATCGGTGTGGACGATCAAATTGACCAAAACAAAGTTAAAAAATGATGTTAAAACACAGAAGTAAATTAATTTGGTTGTCTACAAAGATGCTACGGCTATTTAACTTTTCGAATCGCGCCGAACTACGCGGGTCGCCATTTTGTTTTGCCCGGAAATTCTCGCGCTACTCCTCTCTCTCTTTCTCTCTCTCTCTCCACTGCCCACAGACAAAATTGTACGCTTTTAGTAGGCTACAGTTGTAAGGGAGTGTTTGTTCACGGCACAGAATTCTACAATTTTTCTGTTATCACAGTGTAGAATTCTGTGGTTTAGGGTGAACGCAAAATTTGGTGAACGCGCACCGGGTGAGAATAGCCACAAGACTCGCCTGCACTATTCTCACTCCGGGTGAGAATAGAGGTGGCCCTTTCTAAAATTGCAGTTGCTTAAATTAATCATTAGTTAAAATAAAGACAATGCATTTTGCACTTTAAGAACATACTTTTAGCCACCAAAAATCCCAAACTGTCGACATTTTTTAAAAAATTTAAAAAATTAAAAAAATCCGATTTAAATTTTAAAAATCTGATTTAAATTTTAAAAATCACCAACAGTGCCCGGAAGTTCTCGACTCCTCTCTCTCTCTCTCTCCACTGCCCACAGACAAAATTGTACTCTTTTAGGCTAACAACAGTAGTAATGGAACGTTTGTTCACGGCATAGAGGCACAGAATTCTACAATTTTTCTGTTATCACAGTGTAGAATTCTGTGGTTCAGGGTGAACGCAAAATTGGTTGGCCTAGATCTAGATCTAGATCTAGGCTAGGCTATATAACGGTGAACATACACCAGGTGAGAATAGCCAAAAGACTCGCCTGCGCTATTGGCCTAAAAGTGCCTTGAAATACTAGATTCTAGATATCTAGATCTAGATCTAGATCTAGATCTAGATCTATTCTAGATCTAGATATCTAGATCTAGATATAGAGTAATAGCCAAAATAAACCTCAGGTGCCCAATCCAATCAGCCCTTAAAAATGTGGGTCCCGTCTGTACCGGGTTTTGGTATTTCCCCCCTTATTCCTAGACTTAGTTTATGTTCATGACGATAAATTGCAATCGTATTTTAAAGTTAAAGTTAAAGTAAAATTTAGTACACTCACTATTTTGTCTTCGTTCGCGCTCTTGTGCTGTCTGGCGACTGCTCTACTGCTCTTGGCTCTTTCATTATTATTGTAGGCTATATTGTATATTACACTCTATGATAGTTCTGGCAGTCAGAACACTACTTATCTGTTTCGTAGTGTTTTGCATTCGTTGATTTGGCATGCGCATTAATCATTACTTGTTTTGTTAGCTCAGTGTCAAGGTGGGTCTCCTGGGTCAGGGTAGGAGGGTTGTGAGTTGCTGTCTCAATAGGTCCAAACATTTTGTCAAATATGTTTTACCATCCCAACACCTTTCCCTCAGAAAAAAACACTCGGAAAAGAAAGTATATAAACTGAGGAAAAACAGCGGCAGAATAATTATAACTTGCAGCTTTTCGAACTAAAAACAAAAGAAAGAAGGTATGCTAAATTTAAAAGAAATGCTTTTTCTCTGCAGAGTGAGGAAACATGCATATATTATGTGATGACTGAATACAGAATGCCTCATAAAAGATAAATGTACTGCAATAATTTGTTTGCATGGTTTTGAGAAATTAAATTTTAATTTAAAAAACCTAGACTTCTTTACAGCAATAGCGCCTACTTGGCAACTCGTACATTTTATGATTATTCATCATAACGGAAACGGAAATAACAGTAGCCTAACAATAACACATTGCTCGTAAACGTTGATTCAACTTTCTGTTTCTCAATGGCACTGCAATAGAAAAAAAGAGAGTCAACTGCCTGAGTATTTGAACAGACTCTATCTTTCTTTGCTATGATAACTGTCAGAAATATGCACTCTTCACATACACTGCACCGGTTTATATGTGAACACCTGAGACTTTTTTGCTGCACTTTGATCATTTTAGCGGCATATGGTAAGGCTCTCAGCATATAGAATCTATGATAGTGGTCCGTGGTCACTCATTACGAAAGTCCTCCCTGATCAACAGCTCAGAGGTGTATCTTTCTACATCTAGATCTAGGTAGATCTAGATTCTACTAGATCTAGATCTAGAGTGTATATTATCCATTTTAGTATTTTTAGGCCGGTCCCAGAGTGGCTCTGTTGGTCTGACCTGTAGCTTGCCAAGCACACCCCGTCTGCGTGCCAGCACAGCCGCACTGCGTGTTGGCTTCTGTGTCTGAGTGAGCACCCTCAGCGTGTCAGCACAGCTGCACTAGGCTAGAAGCATACAGGCCTACGAATGTAAACAAACAGTCGAAAGTAGGTCAACCTCTCGATTCGAAATTTTAATGTAGGATAACGTGCATTTCTTGGGATTTTGTGGTCAAGTGTTGATCTAACATCAATCTAATGGGCTACTAGACTAATAGTAAAGCACCTTTTAACTGTTCTTCTTGCCGATTTTGATGATCTGTGAAGAATTTCAGTCGCAAATAAACACGAAACGAGGCTGTGTGGTGTGCGACATGTCCGATGTGTTTTGCAACACTGTTGAATAGCACGTCTGACGCATCGCGCAACTCAGCGGACAACAGGCAGGCCGTGCAGTGACGCTGCTCAGGCTCACGATAATGTATACGTTCATTTGCACGGTGCAAGCTAGGCGAGCTACAGGTCAGACCTACTGATCCACTCTGGGACCGGCCTAACCATTTCCCAGCAGAAGCTGTTCTCTCTCTCTCTCTCTCTCTCTCTCTCTCTCTCTCTCTCTCTCTCTCTCTATCTCTCTCTCTATCTCTCTCTCTATCTCTCTTCTCTCTCTCTCTCTCTCTCTCTCTCTCTCTCTCTCTCTCTCTCTCTGTCTCTCTAATAATAGAATACTTTTAGTCCCTTTTGAGGATCCACACAACTCCCCCCCCCCACCGACCCATACGACATGCCATTAAACGTAGAAGACACATCTTTCTGATTGGCTGCTAATTTTAGTAAAGTGATGTCATCACTTCCTGGAATATCGACAGAATTTTTTAAGAAGGCCGTGGAGGTACCGCATCTTTCTGATTGGCTGCTAATTTTAGTAAAGTGATGTCATCACTTCCTGGAATATCGACAGAATTTTTTAAGAAGGCCGTGGAGGTACCGCATGGAATGATGTGTTTTCGGTAACATTTCGGATTTCCTAGATCTAGTACTTGGACATGATGGAAGTTCGCTTAGATATCTAGATCGTTGATGCTTAGAACAGTAAGATTAAGAACGCTGTGCTTGAGATTGAAGCATGGTAAACGCCAAGACAATAAGCCGCACGAAAATTGCCGTAAAGACGCTGGAGGATTAGATCTAGTTCTACCCCCCTACCCCCCCCCCCCTTCCCTCCTGCATTCTTCTAATATATTTTATGAAAACAACCACAAAGCAACAAATTATAATTTATGGGACAAACTGTTGATCAGTCGGGAGGAGGAGAAGAAGAAAGAAAAAAACCATTCCGGGACCGGGATCGAACCGCTCATAAAGTCATTGCATTACTTCAAATGCAGACGCACTGTCTATTCGGCCATCAGAACTTCCGACAGCGAGAGGTAGATTAAGCTTGATATACATAGACACTTCCATCTTTAGTGCCGTGCGGTTGGCTATATTTAAATGTAGTCATGTGATCGGAGGGATATCCTGTATGACGTCAAACAAGATGGCTGCCTTACCTAAAAATAGTTTGCATCGTTTTACGTTTAATCGCATTATATACATGTAGTTGACACTATTGCCTCCCTTGACGCTCTGCTTTCCCTATGAGTAGTGCCCCATGACTAGAGAGAGCATAGTTTACACCCTATTTAGTAGCATTCCTTGGCTCGAGCGCTCGAGTAACTATATTGAAAATTGCTTCGAGTGCTCGTGAGCAGTGAATAACGAGTAATGCACTGCACACTATTGTCACGTTGAACGTTGTAGCACCTAGCATACAGCAAAATCTATTCCCAAAGGCCACTGCTCAATATGATTTTTATGACTGTGAATCTGTTTTTCTGTCAACTTTCCATGCCCGAAACGCTTGTGCCCACACCCCACCCCCAACAACTCCCCCCCGTCACCCCACCCTGACACGTGCACTAACAGCCACCCGCCTCATCTCTCTCTACCCTAGTACACACACTAAGACACATCATGTCTTACGCACATGTCAAAAATTGTTGAGCACTTGGAGTTTATTGCTAGAGACTAATTAAAGCTTTTTATTTTTCTTGAACTGTGTGAACAAAATATTGATCATTTTTGCATAGGAGAAATTTAAGAAGACTGGGGTACCTGATGCTACAAGTGAAATTAAATATTGTGTGTGAGAGAGAGAGTGAGAGAGAGAGAAAGAGACAATCAATTTCCTTGAGTCCATGTTTCAGCAATGTCTGACAAAAACTTGTATAAATTATTAGGTTGGTTATTCCTTGGAAACATCTGTCTTAGAAGCCATGCATCAGTTTCCAGGGGTATGTTTTGTAGCAAATAGTATTATTGTCTGTATTTTTATACCCTTTTTAGTCTGCCCTTATAGTTATAGGCTTACTTTTACAAGGCTTACAATGTAGTTCGATTTTAAATGAGGTAAGAAAGGTGTTGAGGAAAATGTGAATTTTGCATTTCAGTTTATATATTATATATATGCTTGATTACATCCTGGCTTAAAAATATGAATTTTCGTTTTTTTTTGTCTTTTTCAGTTTCATCATTGGACATTAGCACAGTGCCAGATGAGATTGTCTTGGTTGAGGACTCTCTTTTTTTCGAAATTTTGTGGCCTGAATCCTTGATGTACACTTACCAAATAAGACAAGCCAAGGATTTTGGAACCAACTTTGTATGTTGACGACAATGTTAGGGGGGTTGTTGTCTTCTTCTTCGCAGTTGTTAGTAGGCATGATTATGTTGCACACACTAGCTGTTTTGGATGTAACAGAAAATTTCAAGTCTGCTTTATTCAAATAATTATTAGAGAGCCATCCAATAGGTCTTAGGTTCTAAAGATCAACATTGTACTTAATACTGACAAAGTCACTGCTTGATGTGCCTAAAGTTTATGGTTTATAAAGTATTATTACATCAGTCTGAAGGAAAAATTTGATTCGAGTGAAAATATGAGACAAACTTTCTCATGATTGAAAGAGAGTCTTATGTGCAATTTCTAGATAGATGAGCCATTTGCTGATCAGAATTGTTCATTCAGGGTGTTTAATTATTTTTCCCTCTTGTTTACATCTTCATACTCTTCAAAGATGCAAAAATAGAGATACCAGTGAAAGAATCGTTGGAAAAGCTTATTCATATTATACAGTCGAAGTTGTCCAAGATAACTACCACCTACGGTCGCGAAGAAAAGTTCGTCTTAAACAGATGGTCCTTTTATAGTGTCATTATAGCATATATATTTAAAAAATGCAAGGAAGGGAGTAGGAAGCAGTTGTTTATTCAAGTAATTCACTCATTGTCTTGGACAGGTGGACATAAGACTAGCATCTGCATTTGTTGCGGCCGTGATCCGCGAATCGCGACTGCGATTTTTGGCATTTTTTGGTCCGCGAATTGCGGCCGCGATTTTAGCATTTTTCAAAGTAAAAACAATAACAAAAAAACACTGCCGGGGAATAAAAAATCGAAAAGAAAACGGGGAGTAAAAATCGAACAACAACAACAAAAAGAAACTGAACCTCTTTACCACTTCACTTCGTCTCTTTCTCACTTGTTGACCCCACATTGATTTGTTAAATTATTTTTATGTGAAGTATATTAGTACATGACATACTATTTATAATGCTGGGGGTTTTTTTTTTTTTTTTTTCCCTCTTTGTTGTGTTTTAATTTGTTGGTGTGCTAATTGTTTTTCTTGTTATTGTTCTGATACGTTGTTTTTCTATTTTTTGTGTTTATGTAGCGTAAATGTCTTTAATTTGATGCTGTTCCTACGTTTTTTTAGAAATTATAAATGTGTTTATGTTGGAGTGTGTATCCACCAAAACTGATTGCTGACGCTGGCAGGTCCCTTGTGTGTGATTCCATAGTTTACATGTAATGTTTCTTGTACTTTGTCTTGAATTACACGCTTTTAGGATTAAAACGGCCAATCTTCGGATTGGTTGACACGCGCCCTTGTTAATTTTTGTGGTTGTATGTGTGCCGTTCTAATTTTGATTTAATCACTCTGTGTGGCTACGGATGATATTCTGGATCATGTTTTAAACAGAGCACAAAAAATTCTGGTGTTTAGATTAAGTTAACTCTATTTCTATATTATTATTATTATTATTATACGTTGTCACAGAGAGTTGAAAGCTTCAACATTAATGGCAACTTTTGCCATTTTTGTGGCAACTTTTGGACTAAAAAATTGCAACAAACGCAGATGCTAGATTAGAGCATGTTTACCTGTATATGTGAGGCAGCGTGGTGAAATCAGACGCTCGTCAAAATAATGAAAGTCAAGAAACTGGCATTTTTCCGCAGGTTTGGGAATTTTTATCGAATTTTTGTTTATTGGCTCAACACCTTTCATGCCCATTAAAGAACACATTTCTGTGTGGATTTTACTATAAAACATTGATTAAAGGCATAAAAGATGTAAATTTTTTAGTTTCCACAGCCTCTCAAGCTAAGGAAGTAACTCAATTTTGTCTGCCATTTTCTGGCTAATTTTACATCTGAAACCAGGCAACCCCCTCCTCTTTCAATTGCCTTGTATTCAGGATAAATGGATATATTTTCCATTAAAAGCAATGCACATGAATTAGCTTTAAGGTGATACCAATCACTCCAAATGCACAAAAATTAACGAGCACCTGATTCCGCCGTGTCGTGACACATATGTTATCTTACACAAATGTTGTAGGCTGATTTCTCTTCTCATGACTTTTTTTAGGAAGAAAATAAAGTTTTGCAGTTGTTGTTGTATGCGATTGTACAAGATTTTTCAGAGGCCCCTTCTGCTCAATTTGATCAAAAGCCTTTTTGATTGCTTTGCTGCTACAAGTTCAATGGTGTAAGAGCCCTCTTTTAATTGACATAGAACGCATTATTAAGTCTTCTTAAGATTTCAATTCCTTTTGCCTAATAAAAAGAAAGACTGCTTGTGTTCCACCTTTTTATTCACAAGACTAGAACTTCCAACGTCAGCGTTTGAGAATCAGTTCAATCCAAGGGGTCAGAACTAAATGAACTTGGTTGGGTGTGACTTTTTAATGTTATGTTATGAAGCTGTAGAGGGCAATTATTCCCCTCCAGTAGAATGATAGTCTTTCTTTTCTTTTCCATATTTTTTAAATTTCAGGATAGGGTCTACAATAAAATAGACATGGTTATTGCAGACCCGGTTGAAGGTTGTCAGGCGTTGAATAATGATGTCAAGGATGTTGTAGTGTTCATACTCAGAGGGTGAGTTTTTTTCAGGGTTTTTTTCCTAGAAAGTATAATACTTTTGGTTCTTTGAGTGGTTAACTACAAGGCTCAATGAGCTAATAATAAAGACATTGTCTTAAAACCTTAAATTAACCTTTGATAAAACTGGACACACAACTGAAAAGTAGGCAAACCTTTGATTGTTTGTGAAATGATTGTTGTAGCAACTTAAGGTTAATCAAATTGTTGAATTTTTACTCAGTGGCTTTGCAAATAAAAAGAGGCCAATGCAAGTTCTTTTGCCATTTTTTTTTGTGTTGACTAAAAATAGCAGAAGAGTAGGTTATTTTAATTTCATGTTTTTATTCTTCTACAAAATACAAAATATGTATTTACCTACTGTTCACTAGTGCTAAGCGGTACTGGCGAAACCCAGTGTCGACTCACCCAGTGCTGAGAATTACCAGTACCTGTACTGGGAGTGGCATCAGGGGATGAGGGGATGACGTCACAGACTGTAAGTCTTGCGTCTCATATGACGATCAATGTCGCCCACATCCACCCCCAACGCACACGCACACACGCACGTCAGAATTAGAGAGGCAAACTGTGATGCAAAATACCTTTGAAGTTCGCTGCCGCGCGGGATAAGACTTGGGCTTAAAGTTCCAATTAACACTTTGAAAGAAGTGATGTAAAAGAAAAATTCTGTTGTACACATAGCTAGTGAATATTTACCTTTAGATTTAGTCATTTGACTTATAGAACATCTCACTTTGCAGGACTTGTATTTTTTATTTTTTAATTACCATGAATTTGTCATAACAAAAAATTTTAATTACGTTTTTATCTTTTCCAGTTTAAAAACTCATCTTAAAATGTCAACTTTTATTTCTTTCAGTGAATGTTCCTTTCTAACAAAAACAAAAGTAGCAGAGAGGGCAGGTGCTATTGCTGTCATCATAGCAGACAACGATGAGACAAATGACGGCAACATGATTGACATGATAGATGATAGCACTGAGCGATCCACCAGCATTCCTTCATCTTTCCTCATGGGCAAAGATGGGTAAAACACTCTGATATTTTCTATGTTTATTTTATCAGTACATTTATTGGTGTATTTTTGTTTTGATCTTTAATGTCAATTAATATACAATCAAATTTGCTCTAACGACCACCTGTCCAAGACAATCACCGTTACGAACAACTTTCCATTTGCCCTCGTGTGTTTTATCTATATCATAATGACACTGTTCAAGAGGACCACCTGTCTTATTTGACCACTTTTCTCCTCACCAATGGGTGGTCGTCTTTGACAGGTCTTGTTTTGTTTGATTTTTATGCATTTCAATTACCAGCTTATTCAGTACTGTTACACTGAAATAAGAGAGACAAATTATATATAACAGATAGCATTTGTATAGATTACAAAAAGTCCTGCTCTGCAGCAAGCTCTGTCTGTTACGGGTACATTTCTAAACTGAACATGCATTAATGTGAAAAGTGTCAAGAGTCCATGAAATACAGAATTTATGTAAGAGGTCTGATCAACACCCGAGGAACAGGAGCTGAGGTTGAGGTTAATTTAAAGCTCAATTCAGTACTTGCTTCCCACACGCTGTTTACAGTTAAAAGCATATGTGACATTTATAGGACGTCAGGATGTTCAGTTGTTGGCTTCAGACTGGATGCCACTGGTAGGTTTATGTTCGTTTATTTCCCTTTATCATTTCATGATCTTGGCTCTTTTTCTTTTTCCCAACACTAAAGATTTTGATATGTGTGTATGCTCTTTCTAGTTTTTGTAATAAACTGGTTCTTTTTGTCACGGATTAAAATGGTTATTTATGTATCTCAACTTTTACTATTAATATATTTGTGTGGTCTCATCCCAGCTCATTGTTGAATGAATGGATCATTTATGATAAATACCTCTTTTCTCTTTTTCAGATTAATGATCCGGCAACGTCTAAGCTATATGGGAACAGACCGTGCTATTATCACCATTCCTTTGAATTTAACAGGAAAGCCATTCCATGAAAACAAGCGCCCTCCCTGGACTTTGTGGTGATAATAAAAGGCAATCTGTTGAAATTTATTATTTTTATGCAAATTTTGTTTACGGCATCCTTACATTATGACTACACAACGATTTCCTTTTTCAAAGTGCCTTGGCTAACTACAGACTGGGAACTTATATTTTTCTTTGTAATTGTAACTGTTGCTGCTCTTTTGTGAGATTGTGTTCAGCTTTTTTTTCATGTTTTTTTCATCTTATTTAGTTTTCTTTTTATTTATTTTTTTCTGATGTTCAAGTTTTCATGCTGATACAAACATGGTCGAAATTTAATATTGAAAAAAGTGTTCACTATTATTTACTGTGGATGTTCATCATGAAAATTATCGTGATCCTATTTTTTATTCTAGATTGGTGCTTTTTATGACTCTGTATGCTATAGTGATATAATTCTAAACCCTGAGCTAATGAAGAGTTCTTGCAATGTTGTTGTAGAACATAGATAAATGAACTTCCTGTTATTTATATTTGCACAAGAGGATGGTCGCCAGTATTGCAATATATCGTTTCTTGATTCGTATCCCTTTACCGTTCATGTGTTCTTTGGTGCTGTTTGCTCACTTTTGTTTTGCTACACCTCTTTCTCCTCTATTTATTTTGTACAGTATCCTGGTTATTGATATTACTACCCAGATCAAGAAGAATGTTCCCTCCCCCCTCCCCTCTCTCTCTGTCTCTCTCTCTCTTTTTCTCTCTCTCTCTCTCTCTGTTTCTCTCTGTCCCTCTCCCTCTCTCTCTCTCTCTCTCTCTCTCTCTCTCTCTCTCTCTCTCTCTCTCTTTCTCTTTCTCTCTCTCTCTCTCTGTTTCTCTCTCTCTCTGTTTCTCTCTGTCCCTCCCTCTCTCTCTCTCCCCCCCCCCCCCCCCTTCTCTCTTTCCCTCTCTCTTTCTCTTTCTCTCTCACATTCGCACGCACACACACACATACACACACACACACATACACACACATGTTTGGAATACAAACTGTGTATCTTTTGAAATCTTGTAGTTCAGGGTTTTTTTCTTACTTTTTTTTCCAACTTGAACTTCTCGATTTCCTTGTGTGTGGTACCTAATGTAGTACAAATAGACTGGTTTTTGTTTGTTTTAGCAGAGGTTTTACGGCGCTAGCAACGGCATAAGGTCATGTGAGCACCAAAATTGATTGGTTTAAATTATGATTCATATAACGGAGTGTGTTTTGATGGCGGGATAGTTTTGAAAAAATGAATTTATCTCCTTTTGATGTTACTTCTTGCTTTTTTTGTTTTGTTTTATTTGTTCGCACAGAAATGTGCATTGTCTTGTTGATTCTCATAGACCCATTGTATTTTTATAGGCTATTATAGGCTTGATTCCTTTCAGAGATATATGTCTCTGGGAAAGTCATGGTGTATGATTTTACTTCTCAACCCGGTTGTGAATTGAATTCGGGCCAACCAGTAACTGTTGTTTCTTGCTGTGAAAGTCACTCTATGGACCTGATTAAAATTTACTTTCAGACTCTAAATATACAATGGAACTCAGATTCAATTAACTCAGATTCAACGAAAACTTGGATCATCGAAAGGAGGTGGATCCCTCATTTTTTTCTATGAATTAAAATCGATATAAATAGCTCGGATTCAACTAACATACAAATATAAGCCAGCTCAGATTCAACTAAGTTGCTTGCAGGATGAACCGCCCCTGCTGACGTGGCTTCGCTCATTTTCCCCTACAACGAACCTTATCTATTCCTGGAAACCAGCCGTGGCGTCTGCATCATGAACCGTTATTCCCATAGCCTATTATTTGTTATATATATATCTAGTGCGACCAATCAGCGACCTTCTTGCACACCTAAACATATGTTAGCAGGCATACATGTATTAGCGTGTGTCTGGGTCAGATGAGAGGCCAGCACATCATGTATGCGTGTGTCTGAGAGGGGGGCGACGGTCCGAGCATGGAACTTGGGTAAAGGCCTATGTAAACACGTCAGGTTTTTTTCCCCGGCTACTGATCAACATTACAATGATTAGCTAGTGTTGACACAGATCTACATAATGAATTGCTCGCTGGACTGTGGAATCAAAAGTTGCCATATGCTAGGCTCTACACAGCAACATAATTTGTTTGGCAAACGATACATTTAAAGATGATAGATGACATAAACGTGCGTTTGAACGAGTCGTCCCTTTTGTACAGTATGTGTATTGTAGAGTTTAGTGTATTTACCTGGAATTGTCCACCATTTCTTCAGTATGACATCAAAGAAACGAAAGGTGGCTGTAAAATTATCTCCCCAAAAACCTCATGTTTGCTATATAGTATAATGAGCACTCGGATTCAGCGAAATTGAAGGTCAGGCCTGACGACTTCGTTGAATCCAAGTTCCACTATATTATATAGTATATTATCCAGGTGATTATTATGGCATTGTGTACGTCTCTCATTTACAGCCTTAATTAACTTAATACAGAAATTGTGTCAATTCTGTTCTTTTATGCAAAACCTCATATGCACAGAATTTTTTCATAGCAGCATACTGGAAAGAATGTTCCAATGTTAATCAGAACTTTGTTTGTCCCCTTGAGCTCTACTGTTTTCAGAGACTGCTGTTTGAAGTTTGCTAAATTCATCATGCAGCATTACTCCTTTGATTTGTATGTTGGGCTCAGGTAATGACTGTGATTATAATATGTTGCAACATGGTCACATACAGCATTGAATACTTGCTCTAAAATGGGTTTATTTTATTTTTCCTATTGTCTTGTTGTTTGTTTTTTCTTTAGTTGAGGATGCAAATATGTTAACATGTTGAACATACTTGCTGCTGAAGTAGTTAAGTCTTGTAGTTGGACATTTTATTTTTATTCTCCTGTTGAATTATTAGATTTGCATAAATTATGGTATAAACACTTTGAGTTGATATATATTTTTTTTAGTAGAGGTTTTACAGCGCTCGCAACTGCATTAGGTCATATGAGCGCCAGAAGATTAGAGGTGTTACAAGAGAGTAACAAACATAAAAAAGAAAAAGGGGAGATAAGGACGATAGATGTTTGATAGGAAAGAAGGAGCAAACCACACCAGAGCTCCCGCCAACCACCCACAGTTGATATTTTAGCAGTTGACTTTAGTAATGGCAATTTCTGATTTTTTTTCTACTTTGACCATGAGTTAAAATGGTCTGTGTTCATATTGATATTAAGTTATGATCATATCTATTGTGCCAGAGTTAACTACTTGCACCCCCCCGGGGCAGTGCCACTGACTGAAGTGTCTTTAGGCCATTCCCAAAGGGGGGAACATATCTCGTTCAAGCATAGTAGAATTGTAAATGGGCTGATTCATCTTACTATTGTCATTTTCTACTTCTTTTGTATGTTTGTCACTCCCTTGTGACCTGCTATTTTGGGGTGCCTTGATAGTCGAAGCAGACCTTGTGCCGTTGAAGCTAGAAAGAGAGGTGAGCAGTTTAAGTCTGATTCCCTGTAAAGGCTTCTCTGTTGTCACCCACCCCTTGGCGCTCATTTGACCTTATGCAGTTGCGAGCGCCGTAAAACCCTCTACTATAAAAAAAATATTTTAAAAATAACTACTTGCAAACCTGAGTGAAACGGCTGCATTTTTGGTATGGTCTTTGGCTGGGTAGCCTACTGATTCTTTCACAGCAAATACATCCTTGACTTTGGGTGAGGTACTCTGAGCGCAGAGAAGATGATCAAATTTGGAAAATGAAATAGGGGGTCTTTTAAATTTGTTGGGAGTGTTTTGAATGTAAAGGGTCTTAGTTTAGCACACAGACAGAATTCGTTATGAAGGTTGTTTTCCTCAGGGTAACTTTTCTTTCTTCTTTTCCGAAATATGATACCATTTCTCAACTGGGCTTTTTGTTTTTGGTCCTGCAGTAGGTTGAGATTCGATCTCGTCTTGTCCTCATAATATTTTTTCTCATCCCAGTGCTCTGATAGTGGCTTCAAATCAAGCAAAGTGTCCAGGTCTTTAATTAAGCTGTTTGTATATTATCTTGTAGCATACAAGGTGACTCAAGGCGGAAGACATTTACCCTACTCAGTACTTTTCCTAGTTTGTTGATTAATGTAGTGCATAAATGATTTTGGGCTCTTATGAAACCCAAAAACTAGTTTAAATATCTTACCGACTCCAATCCACAGATGACGTTTCATGAAATTACAAGCTGTTGTGAGGCAAGTAAGTTGTAAAAAATATGATGCTACCCGTTTCATTTTTGTCTTGGCAGTGCATCTATCAATAGGGCTTTTTGATGAGGTGCTGAAAACAAAATTTTACTTTTTGGATAGTTCTTTTTTTTAAAGTACATTTAGAATACATGATTCTACCAGCTGGTCTTTACAGTCCGTGCCGGCTTTAAGCGTGCCGGCATAAAGCATGTTTCGGACTCAAGCACGCTAAATGGCTCTCACCGAATTTTTGCGATATAAATTACACGCCTTTAAGCACGGTAACTTTCGCTTCTGGCTCGCTTCATTTACAAGACAGTCAATACTTTCATGATGACCCATCAAAGTTCGTACACAGTCTACACCGCAGCAGTGTGTTAAGAGAAACACAAAGAACGCAAGTGATGGAAACACACACACACGCGGATAGCAAGGCAGAGAGATGCACACAGCCGCACGTGCGGACATAGGATCTAGCCTAGGGCAAAGCTACACACAGACAAAAAATACAAAGAGAGCCGAGGAGACGAAAAAGGGAAGCTGGCTGCGATTTCACCTTTGCGACACTTTGCCCCTCGCTATCCATTTATCCTGATTATGTATCACGCGCGAGATGGGATGAACGCGGTGGTATGAATGTGGCACAGAGGGCAGTGGTACGCACAGGCAGTGTGTAGGCCTAGTTAAGTGTTCTGTATCGTGAATGGCCGTCTCATTTAAGTTTTCATTTCCCCTTCGACCAAAAAACAAAACAAACAAACAAACAAAAAATGCCACAACGAGTAAAAATAACAGTGTACACTTTTGCGGGACCACTATAGGCCTTCTGACAAACAAATGGAAATAGCATGAGAAATTTTCTACATGAAAATCTCTGGATTATGTGTACTTCGCACTCAAGCACGCTTCGGCATTAAGCACGTTTAAGCTTTCTCCCAATGACCGTACTTAAAGCCGGCATGGACTGTAATTACTTTGGCTTATAATTAGAATGAAAAAAAATACAAAGGCTGGTGAAATGCCGTTGCTGTCACAAGAAAAGAGAATAACTCTAGGTTAGCCGACTATTCCAAATTTCCTGGGAATGTCCCGGACTAAGCGATCAGGAATTTGAAAAAATTAGATGACACACACAACACTTAAACCAGTCTCACTTGATGTAATTTTGTTCTTTGTTGCATAATCTGATGTTGTAATGTTGGGTGTCCCTGGTTTTGTTTTGAAGTTGGCAAACCTTTGTAAAGGCCTCTACCGGTATTTGACATTTCTTTACAGGATGAGCAAGGGATTCGGAGCTTTCTCACTTTTTTTGTGATGGCAAAGACACATTTACTTGTATTTTCTTTCTAGTCATG